GTGGATCAGAGCACTGAAGCCAGGTTTCAAACAATGGACCAGAAACATGGGCTCTAGCCTTCTTCCCTTCTTCTTCTTTATGAACAATTTTCCGTGACACACCCTAATCCAGCAAAGTCTTTGCAGTCTGATATTTTGTCTAAGTTGTTTAGCCATAGTGAGAACATTTTGGGGGTTCTACAGTTCTGGGATTCTACTGTGAGCAAATCAGAAAACTTGAGAACTGTATGTTAATTCAATAACTGTATGTAATTTTGGCCTCCACAAGCAAAATCGACTGCAGTTCTTGCTTTCTGTGCAGTGGCATGGCTGCAGCATTAAAATGAAGTGTAGCTGTTTAGCAGTTGGGCACAGTAATGAGCTGCACAAACTTCTGATTAGGCTCAAGTGTTTAAAATCACAGGAGCTCCTGGGGTCTGACGAATCTTGAGCATTTCCGCGACCTGTGTTAATCAGAATTAATGATCACAATCACAATATCTCACAAAATAACCATTTTTGTCAATCGCTAGGAAGCAGTGCTCCTCATTGATTTTAATTCACCAGGTCAAATACTAATTACAGTGTGGTAATTATGGCCATGTAGGCCAATATTGTGATACTGCGCAGCTCTGACAAGAACTTGTTTTACGTAAGACATCCGTAAATGTGAAAAACTCTTTAACTACAGCAATTAGACCGCTGTGGTATACTTTCCCATCCTGCTCTTTCTCAAGCAGTCCTGAGCTGGGAGAAATTACTTAGCTCTATCCTCAAAGGCCATCCTCCTCTGGAGTGCAGGAAGAAATGGTTGTGGTTCAAAAGGGCGGTCACTGTTCTCTCTTTCTTGGGTAACAGTATGATGGTCAGAAATGGGTTTACATTAGGGGTGTGAAAGTGCACCTGTACATTGTGATGAATCTGTCTGAAAGAGATGCTTCAACTGTGTACGGCTTGGAGTAGTAGAATTGATTTCTATGGATTATAATCATTTTCAGTGAAGGTGTTCAAACATACAAATGCTAGGGGATCTGATATTTATAATGCAGTAACATGGTGAATTATGAATGCCACAAATTTTTCAACACTTAACACATTTTGCATTTTGCTTTACACTTAGAACCATCCATAGCGGTCACACCTGAAACCCAGATGCTTGCATGCTGTATGATAGAGTGTGATTATCTTCTTTACATTAAGCTCCAGGCCTTTTTTGTAACAAAAAGACCAGCATATCTGTTTTTTTTAGACTTGAGGCTTGAATGCTGAATGTAGTGTGCCAGAATGTCAGTTCATGCACTCCACTTAATACTTGATACTTAATACTTAATAACTGTAAATAATGTAGAATAATTATAAATGCAATTTGGTATGATACAATTTTTCTGCTTCAATTCCTGCTTCAGCACCTTCAGCAGACTATGCTGGACAGTGCTTGTAGGCGACTGATGGATAAATCAATGAGCAGCAAACTAACAAAAGCAACAGGGCAGTGATACAGTTTTCTTTCAATTTGTAACAAGAATTGGAAACATTGACTGTACATACACTGATAAGCCAAAACATTAAGACTGATATAGAGAATTACATCAATTATCTCGTAACAATGGTGCATGTCAACGTCTGGGATATATATTTTACAGTATGCGAACAGTCGGTTCTCGTAGTTGACTTGAAGAACGAGCAGAATGTGTCACAACACAGTGCGTTGCATCCTGCTGCACATGGGACAGAGTAGCAACAGAGTGCTCAGAGTGCCCATGCTAACCTCTGTCTACAGTCGAAAGCATCTACAATGGGCCTGTGTACATCGGAACTGGATCTTGCAGCAATGGAAGAACGTCGCCAGATACATGTGTGATGTTTACCAGTTGAAGTGATGGCACCAGGATACACTGTGGAAAGAAGACAAGCCTGTGGATAGAGTGTGATTCTCTGGGCAATGTTTTGCCAGGAAACCCTGGGTTTGGGCATTCACGTGGACGTCAATTTGACACGTGCCGCCTACACTGCAGACCAGGTAGGCCCCATCTTGGTGATGGTATTCCCTGATAGCAGTGGCCTCTTGCAGCAGGGTAGTCTGCCCTGCCATATTGCACACATTGTTCAGAAATAGTTTGAGAAACATGGTGTAAGATGTTGCCCAGTCCTTCAAATTCCCCAGATCTTACTCCGATCGAGCATCTGGGGAAAGTGCTGGAACTGTGGGGGCTCCACTTTGCAATTAATGTCTTGGGGCCTGATACCATAGGGTACCTTCAGAGGGCTTGTAGAGTCCATGCCTCGACGGGTCAGAGCTGTTTTGGTGGCACATGGAGGGCCAATGTATTATTAGGCAGATGATCATAATGATTTTTACTTATCAGTACATGATATATAGGATATATAATCTCATTGGTTGGAAAATGTGGCCACAGTTGCCCTCACTGGACGCTGTGATGAAACCATGGTAAAATGTGTTCACTCTGGAAATTTTTTTATGTTCGTGTGAACCCTGCATTTATATGATGAAAAAAATGTTTGTGAATATTGAAAGTAATAAATACATGCTGATTAAGCATAATTTGTTCATTCATATCTAAAACATAATGCACTGCTTTTTAAATGAAAATGGAATTTCTTTTTGCACTGAGTCATTTCTTAATTGCAGTGCACTGGAAAAAGTAGATCAGTTTACATTAATCGAATGTGTAAGGTTCCACACAAATGAAATATATTACATCAACTTAAGTTAATTAAGTAGTTACACTTAGTAATTATATTGATATTTCATTCATGTGGAGCCAGTGTTTTTTTCAGTGTAGAATCTAATTATTGTCAGTTTAGAGCTTTACAGCCCTAGTTGATATGGATTGTTATGTTTTTTTGGTCTTAATTCTGTTTTTCATCCTATTTCTAAGTGGATATTCAATTATGTACAGTACTGTCAAAGCAGCAGACCACTATGCAAATATTTATTGTGTATCTATCAAATATGTACAGTGTTATGTTTTTCAGCCAGGTTGTGTTTGTTTTATGAGAGTCTGATTTGGCAGGTACTCAGATAGTCAGGGCTGTGGTTCAAAGACCAAATCTATCATTTCCTCTTCCACTATGCATTAAAATGTCCACCTTTTAAGGGAAGAAGAGAGGCTCACAGAAATAACTGATGAAGATTTGACATGACGGTGTTTATTCCAAAAGCCTCTACACATTCATTTAGCACAGGCAGCACATGTGTAGCTAATAATAGTTGTGTCAAGACATAAGAAATGGCCTCTCTACAAAAACAACACATTCTCAGGCATATTGACGGAATATGCTGATTTAATAGGCGCTGGACTGCCTTCCCTTTTGACCATGTTTTTTATTAAATTACTTGAAAGACTAAAAGCCACTGAGCACCTTCTGGGCCTGGATCAATGTTCTTTTTTTATCCACTCTCCTTTACCTATGCTTATTTCTCAAAAAGGCTCTATAGGTCAAACATGATGATGAAAAATGCTGTGATTTGTGATTGAAATATCAATCTATTTGCTCTTGCCTTGCTTTGTACCTCTCCTCAGCTTTCTGCATAGTCGCCCGAACATGCCTGGGCAGCATGCGTTCTGAAATAGTCAGAGACATCATTGATTAAAAAAATAAATAAATAAATGAAAAGAAGAAAAACTGTGTTCCACAGAAATTTGCATATTTGTGTTGCTGATCATCTAGTAATGTGACACGCATGATTAGGATGTTGGCCTACTAATTATGGCCGTGTTTTAAAGTATAAGGCTGAGGAATAACTCAAGCGAGAGGTTGCTCAGTCTGATCATCTTCACACCCTGTTATCACAAGTGGTTGTGTCAGCGGGGTTTCCATAGTTACTTGTTGCGTCGTTGTGAAAGTGGTGAGGTCAGCCACCGGTTAGGAGTTAATGGAATGCACTTTGAAAGACTCTACGTACTCCTGAATTATGCATGTGCAGAGCTACAGAAAAGTCTTCATCTTTGAACCCCAAATATGTTCATAGACTTCTTTGCACCCATTCTGTCAATCTCCTCTTTATTTCCACGTTTTTGATAGGGGGGGAAAAGCTTATCTAACTACACCGCAGTGCTTACGATAGCAACTATTGCATATAGGAGTTACGCTTATGTTCTTGAGTACTGCTAATTGTGCTGTCATATTTTAGCACCTGATAAGGCATGTCTACTGCCCATACTCTTAATTTCCATCTGACCTCAATTTTATTTAAAGTTAGAATGTGTTCCGTGTGTACAGTAGGGCCTGGCCAAAACTGATTCCTGAAAATTCCAGTTAATTCCAATAACATCATGTGGTATCATTTAATATGGTCAAAAACGTTTAGCAGACCCCTCTGATTTCAGTTAAATAGTGCTTTATTGACTATTGTTAGTTGTCCAATGTAAATTGTCATATGTGATTTTAGTGTTTCCCTGTATTCTTTCAGGCCTGGTGGTAGACCCTTTGAAGCTACTAGTGTTGTGCCTACGTGCTTCCATCAAACGCGTCTGGGGCAAATTTTTCATGAACAACACGAACATTTTGTGTCATTCTCGTATTTAATTCAGACATATGGCATTAGGAGTAGCCAGTTTCCCGAAGACCTGCAACTTGGATCCATCCTATGTCAAGAATCAAGCAAAAAGAAAGTACATTTGACCACCTCATCAATTTCAGACTTCACTCTGTTAGAACACACGTCAATAGTGAAAACAGCACAGTACTTCTCATTGCTCTTTCTCTTGCCAAGAAAATTATGAACAGGAATGAACTGGAAATCAAGGGAAATAGTAAAACATAAAAAAATGCTAACTGACTATCTGTGGAAATATTAGTGGAAAAGCTTTCTGTCCCTATCAAAAACAAAACCACTGAATTCATCTTTGCCCTTGTAGATACATGCCCTCCTTCATAGCTGTACGACATACCTGTGTAGACCTCAGTATCAGCTGATATCTTCGGGCCGCAGTCCCTTTTAGTGTGGCTAAAAGTGTTCACTCATGCCAACCCCAGTTCTTCTTTCTGTTTTCCAGTCTCTCTGCGAGTGGACATCACACCTGCGCATGGCGAAATCAGTGTTGGAGAATCAAAATTCTTTCTGTGTGAAGGTATGTTTTACACTCACAGCTTCATTCTTCTCTTCAAGACAAGCCCCTATACAATGCCTTTTTGTTGTTTCTTCACACTCATCTATGGGTATTGCATGTTACACCTCCTCCCTGCCTGTAACTCATCTCAGCGTAGGCTGAATCGCTTTCACAGGTTTCCCTCTCTTGGGCTTCATTTAAAGACAGTCTCTGAGATACGGGCCAGCAGCTCTGGTAATTGCTCTCCTCACCGAGCCATTACCAAAGCTTCTAGTCCAGTGATTTGGCCAGCAGACTAGTAACCACAGGATTGCCTGGCTCGCTCAGATTTTAGGCACTTCCTGCTGTTCTGCTTGCAAGTGGAGCACTTAATCTCAATTGATTCCACTGAAATATTCTGTTGCCTTCAGACCTAATTTACTCCTGATTGATGCGCTTGTTTTTATACGGATCCTCTGGCAACATTTGTTTAAAGGAATGATGTATATCATAGCTCATAGAGTTTAGCATTAATAATGCAGGATGATGAATGCACCCGTACGTGTTCTGTTGTTGCGGTGTAGTTATGGGTGGAGTGAAGGGAATCGACTGGTTCTCACCAAGCGGCGAGAAGATTGAAACCAACAGGCAGGATATCACGGTGTTCCGGAATGACGAGACATCCTCTACCCTCACCATCTACAATGCTAACGTCGATAGTGCTGGCACGTACAAGTGCGTCGGCACCAGCGGCGACCAGCAAGCTGAAGCCACAGTCAACGTGAAGATTTACCGTACGCCTCTGGTTCTTGTTCATTTTAACTTGCTTTTGCTCCCTCCCTCTTTGCCCGTTTAGTGTGATTCCTGTTCATTTGGGACTATGTTTCTATTGAACGAAAGGCCATTTAAGTGGCGGTGTTCGCCTTTTATTACGCCACAAAACTAAATAGTCTGCACACTGCACAATCAAATGTGATAAAGTAGACCAAAAGTCCACATTTTATGAGGAGCTTATTAAGTCCTAAGTTTTCAGAGAGTAAGAGTAAAATACAGAGTATGTGACTTATGTGCATTAGGGACTACAAAATGCTGATCATTTGCTGAAACATTTTCATGATGTATAATTTTTTTGTATTTTTTTTTCTGCAGAAAAGATTACCTTCAAAAATGCCCCATCCCTACAAGAGTTTACAGAAGGGGACAGTGCTGTTATCGTATGCGATGTCATAAGTTCCCCTCCACCCACTGTCATCTGGAAGCACAAAAGGGCAAAAATCCAGTATGAAAAAGATGGTAAGATTCAGTATAGCCGCTTTTTATCCGTGTAATCATTTTTATTGACTGCGCGTGTAGCATTTAATATAGAGGAGTTCTGTTTTGTCTTTTACCACTCAGCAGGGAAGAACATCTGAGCTCTCCATTACAGTTGTTTATTTCTACCTTTTCCAAACATACAATGAAAGAATATTAGCATTTTTATTTTAACCAACAGAACCAGAAAACATCTGATTTAAAAGGCATCATTCATGACTTGATTGGTATTCTGGTTCATTTGCAGATGATTAAATTCAATGAAAAAGCTGACAGCACAGATTAATTTCCTTTACCTGACAACCAAAGTCCAGTGTTTTTGACGCTGTGCATTCGCAGTCTTCTTGGACTTCTTGATACAGCTATAAATCTGTTGTAAAACTACTGCCTTGCCTTCAGTGCGCTTCAAGGTCTTGAACAACAACCACCTGCAGATAAGAGGAATCAAAAAGACAGATGAAGGCGTGTACACCTGCGAGGGGCGTATTATGGCCAGGGGCGAGATCGACTTCCGTGCAATCAGGGTGGTAGTGAACGGTAAGCACTCCTCCGCTGATCTCTCTGTGCCTTTGTTTGAGCTTTAAAGCATTTGTGGTTTTGAACTAAATTGCTCTTTATCACATATGGGTGCCATGCTGCTGCTGTTTATCCCAGACACTCATTACAATGATTGGTCCTGAATGGAGCAATTTACCACTGCCAAGAGTTTTCTTGAAAAAAAACACCGCGAAAGTCAGCCAGGCATGACGGCGCACACGGACAGAGCATTAAAAGTTTGCAAAAACAAGAGAGCTCCCAGTTTAGCGATAAATGTGTTTATGGTTCACATATTAAATAATTGTTTGCAGAGGCTGTTTCAGAATATTATATTCCATCTTGTAAGGCTTCAGCAGAGCGGCAAGAAGTCAGTCTTTTCATCTCTTTTCCCAGAACATTATAGTTCTCCACTGAGACAATATTACCTTACATTCCTTTCCAGTTGAATTGCGCAGTGCTAAATATTCATAGTACTCAGGCAGCTTTACAAAGTAGCTGTTTTGTAAGTGTGTTATTTTAAGGTACGTGTTGCCGCTTTGAAAAAGACATTTACAGTAGAGGCTTTTCTGTCTACGGTCATGCTCTGCTGACTTCCATTGAGTCGCTGTTGCGGTAAATTACTCTGAACAGACCAGATCATCAGACAGGGTGTCTCTAGTGAACAACAGCAGAGCACCCATGTGATAAACATCAGTTTGGTTTGAAAGCACGGACCCTATATTTTAAAGTCTGTGTATGTACATCTAAGCGTCCACGTCAGGTCATGTATAAAATGTAGTCTTTGTCCTACCGTCTCTTAGTTCTCCCCACCATCAGAGTTCGTCAAGCTGAAGTGAATGCCACAGCTGACTTGGGCCACTCAGCAATGCTGGCCTGTGATGCGGACGGCTTCCCTGAGCCTACCGTCACGTGGACACGGTAAAGATCGCTCACTAGAGCTGTTTTTAAAGAGCTAAAAATTCTGATAACAACAGCCTTTGGGGCAGATTCACTAAAGGAGGTGCTAATTACCGACAGTCTACCGACACTTGTGGCCAAATTAGCGAGTTATCTAATAAGAGCTTCCATGCAAATGAAAACAAGTGCACCTCTGTAATTAACATATGACCAGCGCAGTATAAACCCCTTTTTGGCAAACATGGTTTTTGTAGGAGAGCGTTTTTCTGCCGGATAGGAGGAAAAAAGGTTTCTCCTTCTCTGATTGTGATTCAAATTGTGACTCACTGGGTCCAAAAAATTACTACTGTAATCAATATTTTGGCTTAGTAAGTCCTTAGAATGAGAGAGAATGTGAATATTTTAACATCAGAAATAATTATTTTATTTTTAATTTAAAAAAAATGAGTATCCAGAAAGTGCATGGTTATTTCAAGTCATTATTTTGTGAAAGTAAGATGTTGTTTTGGCATAATACATCAGAGTTTTGAGAAAATAAGCAATTATTTTGACTTTCTGTTTAGGAACACATGTTCGTTTAGCTGGTGGGATGGACTGAACTAGAGTTCCCTGTTGAATGACTCTGGAAACCGTGTGATACAGTAAAATCCCTGTTTCGTTTCAATGGGTGTGTCCTGGTTGTTTGGAAACTGTATGATTTTGAACTTGTGGTGAACGTAACCTTTTTGCTCACTGCATCAAAATGCATCAAAGCATAGCTGCAACAGAAGCCAGAGTGTGAACAAAATGACAGTTGCATAGCTTTAGTAATGCAAGGATTGCACAGCCAAAAGTGTTTCAATGTGTACTTGTAACAATTGTTTGGAAAAGAAAAGTCATATCATTGTTTAGGCATAACATGCTTTTAAGATACTCTGAGTGTTGTAAAATATACCCAAAGTTTTATGAAACAGCAGTTGAAAACGGTTTTTCTAAAATTATGTGGGTTTAGTTTTTTTATTTCCTTTTTTAGTTCCTTATCAAATTAGGAATAATGTGACATGCAGGTTTTTTTTCTATCTAAAATAAATAATTTTTTCTCCCTGAGCACAAATAGTTGCAGCACCCATAAGCACACAGTCAGTATTTACAGTCAGTCTTGGTAAATAAAAATAGTTAGTTCATTATTATTATTATTATTATATTCTCCCAGTGTTTTCCTTTTCAGAGGAAAAAGATAAATACATACGCAATGAGGCAAAAGTGCAAGAGAGCAGCGACGCCTCTTTTCATCTTAATATGGGAGCTAAAGGGCCGCTACGCCTCTTTAGTAGTTCTTGACAGCCACTCAGTAGCAAATGCCAAAACGGGTTTCAGACGGCGCAAAACGTAAGTAAAGCTGCCCCTAAATATTTTAAATTCAGTCAAAAAATTAGCAAACTTAAGTAGTTTTAATTAAGTGCTTCAGTGACTGATATGACTCAGTTGTCACATAAACACAAATACAGCACAAATAGAAAATACATAGAAATTAATATTAAATATTATTGTGTGAGGGGCAGAGCTTCCCAGATTTCTTAGCTGTTTGTTTGGTGTCTTAAATTCTTTATATCTCGTCATTTCTCTTCATAGAAACACGCATTATATCTAAGTAATTTAGCTAATTCTTTACCCTGTTCACACCTGGTTGTTTTATGTGACTTGTATCCAGATTGTAAGTTGAAAAAAAATTATTGACATGCATTTTCACCTGGTAATCAAAAGCCTCTCCACTTAGTCAGATTGAACTCTAAATAGTGTTGTTTTGTCTTCAGATTTACCAGTTCCGCCTATTACAGACATACAGAGAATGTCTGTAATAGAAAACTAGCTATGAAATATTCACACATAAAGGGTAGCATCCCCAGGACCTCAACCGTGACTGATATTGTTTCTCAGTCGATGTATCGGTCAGGCCCTAGCCTTTTCTTTCTCCCAGCGATTCCCCTGATGAAAGAGAACTATTCATAACCTCCCCCAACCAGCACCCAGCCACTTCTCGCCACGGCCTGCACATTTTTTTGGATTAAGAGATCAAAGGCGGGAAGAGGAGCCCTTTGAATAAAATAAAGAACATTTACGGATGACATGGCAGAAGGGCAAGCAGAAGAGCACCCCATTAGTAGTTTTAAAGCGCGAGGCTTCTCTTGGTGGCTCTCGGCTGTGCTGTGGGAACGCAAGCTCTCTTTTTGTGCTCTCAGAGGATAGTGGAGGAGACGGGCCTCCCTGGGGAAGCTGCACTGATCCTGCAAGCTCTTTAGAAGAAGGGGGGTGGGTGCTGGGAGATAACTGGCCCCCGGTCTTTTGACAGGGTTTGTGGTGTATTTATTAGCTGTTTGACCTTTGATGAAGGGTGCACTGCCATCATCAAGAAAGTGATTGGTTTTGAAGGAGCTCACTAGAGAAAAAACAACTAGAAGAAAATTGAGTAAATAGGAGCGTTTTGCTGTAAGCGGCGGCCGTCTCGTTGGTTTTCCTCACAAGTGGTCTAGTCACTGGAAATCAAGTGTCTTTGTTTTCATTTTTAATAAAACCACCAGGTAAAAAATATTGAGACAAAAACTGTAAAAATCTCAGAAGGTTCTCTAGTTAGTAGTTTTGTCCCAGCAAAAAAGGCCTTTGCTTTTGTGTTTCCTTGTAATTGTGTTTGATAGTTCTCCCAGGAGCGACGTTCTGCTGGAGAGCGGGGATAAGTATGGCTTCAATGAGGACGGCTCTGAGATGACTATAATGAATGTGAAGAAGTTGGACGAGGGAGACTATACCTGCATTGCCAGGAACAAAGCTGGGAAAACTGAAGAAGAAGTCAGCCTCAGAGTCTTTGGTGAGAATTTTTCGAAACTTGAAAGATTTGCACTTTAATTACTTCTGAAAGTCTGAACGTTAGACACAGCAAGAATGCAAAGAACAAGACAATTTCGCTAACTTTGCCTTGAAATTACGTCCTTTCAGTCAAACCCAGAATCACATATTTGGAGAACCACACTACCACAGAGATGGAGGAGCAGATCACGTTGACGTGTGAAGCCACGGGAGACCCCACCCCCACCATCACGTGGAGCTACGGCACACGCGTGTTCACTGAGGGAGAGCAGGTACGCAGAAGAGCCACGCGCTCAGAGGGGCTGCGAGGCGGCTACCCTTTCTTCTCTTTGTCTTTGTTGAATTCTCAGTGGGACCCAGAGCTAGCGTACTTCTATTTCAGCTGTGATGGTTAAATTGTCTAAAATCAGAGAAGCATGTAGCAGTAGTGAGGTTGGAGCTGCCTCTGGCTGTTTCATGCATACGATTTGTTTCTGTCTGCAGGAGCATCTAAAGAGGATTTATCAGGTATGAGATCAGAGTGGCAGGTATAGTAAATCGAACGTCTAGAAAACCGACCAAAATCACCTGATCTGTGTCGTTAATCCCAGATTTGGCCCCAGAATCCCAATAAGTATCAGACAGTAAAGACATCTGCTAATTTACTGCCTGCTGCTGAAAATCAATTTCTTCCACTGTCCTAAAGCTATGATCTCATCAGAGATTACTGAATCATAAATTAAAAAAAAAAATTAGAAAAGAAGCTTGCATGATGCTCAAATGGCCTTGTTGTTGCAGCAGTCTCCAACGTGGAAAATGGTGATGGAACTTGACTGCTGCAACTCGAAAACCGGAACAAAATGAGCTTGAAGTGAATGAGTAACGTGCCGCTTGGAGTCTTGTTGTGATTGCCATCATCACAGGGTCCCTATAGGAGCATGACATGGCTTGTATCATGCTTTTCTCAGGCTGCTCTCATTTACGAACCTTTCCTCATGTTCCACCCTCATCATCTCCACTTGGTTGTAACAGTAGGTTGTCATTTAGGCTAGTACCATTTTCATCAGTCTGTGCAGACTCACGGAGCTGCTCATGCCCACAGAGCGCAAAAATAATTAGCAGTAATTCTTCTATATAACTTTTGTTATCTGCAAGCCTAGGGTAGATTTGTTATCTGCTACATAACTACCCAGAAGACATTAAAAGAAAAAAAAAAGCTAGCTACAAAAGGCAAGTGGCCATATCGCTGCTAATTATTTTTCTGAATGTGTCACTCTTCTGTGGTTTCAACGCTAAGCACAACACCTACACGGCTGGTTGAAATGGGCTTGCTCGTTGAAGAGCTTGTCATCAGTCTTTGTGGTGGAAAATGAAGGCTTTTCCACCTGACACGATTCCAGTAGCTTTGTGCAGCTCATCTGCGACGCTTTCATGAACAGTAACGTGACTCTGGAAGCTCTGCATGATGCATGCTTTTGCCTGTTCAGTCAGCTCTTTTAAAAATTGCATTGTGCCTATGTACAGTTTTGCATAAAAGCAATTCGTACCATCAGATGTCTGCCGTTTCCTGCTCTACCGCTACCATCTCTCCCTCCAGGAGACCATTAGCTCTATATCTTGTCAGCCCTATTTGTTACATTTGGTCCAATAAACAGAGAGTTTTTTACACTCTATTGTATTTCCTCACCTCTGGCCCACTTAACCAGAGGTGCCAGACAAATGAGATGGCTGTAAAGGCAGGAGGCCTGAAGCAGAGTGGGGCAATAAAGCCTTGAAAATAGGCATTGGAAGCTCACGATACTGCGAGACAAAAGCTGCGATTTGGTCTGTGAACAAGGGCCAATCCATCAGGCACTTTCTCTTGGGCTTTTCTTCTATCTCCTGTCGTGCTCCTCTGAGTCAGCTTTTCCATGACTCACCTGTAAAACAGATTAGCTTCACGAAGAAAGGCACACTGCATTAAAAATGAACCAACTATCAAGCCAGAGAGAGATATAGCTTCAAAAAAGAGTGAGACATGCTTAAATGATATTTCAATAGCTCAAGGGTGCTGTAGTTCCAGAAGACTTCTTTTTTTTTTCTTTTGCAAAACAGCTGTCTTCTCTAGTATGCGGCTGGGGTATAGAGCAGCCCTTGTTTTCACCCGACACAATGCGCATTTAGATCTGTGTCCTCTGGTAACGCCCTTTTGGATTGGCCTGTCCACTTACACCAGTGACCCAATACTGAGAGCTAGCCTGTTCTCTAGAGCTAGAGCCTGGAGGAGAGCAAACAGCATTTCCTTACTGTGGCCTATCTGATGAAACGGAGATATTGATCCAGTTTTCTTTGCACTTTTGACATCTATGACTGGACTGCTTTGTGAGTCTTTCCAGCAACCACAAAAGCAGCCACCATTGTACTGTAAATGCATGAAAGAACCTGATCACCCAAGCTGATTGGTTTTATTATTCACATTAGGGCTGAACAAGATATGAATTATTGTTAAATTGCTTTTGGCTTTTGTAATATTGAAATATGCAATCTGGAAAGGATAGAATTTGATTGAGCATTCTGACCAGTCTTGGATGTTTCAGATGAGTGTTTGTGTCCTGGTGAATCAAGGAATTCTCACACAAAATAAGGCAGGCCAGGCTTTTTCACCAAGAGTTCACTGATGTATTTTTAATGTATCGAGAAGCATATCTTAATCGCAATTAGAGCTGCCATGAATACTCAGTTGAAAAATGTACCTTCTTATAATGATTAGCGACCTGATTACATGACTATAATACATTATTTACAGGGCCTATGTCATGGAAAATAGTTTTCCTCCCTTTTTTTAAATACAAAAATTTGCTGTAGTTTATGAACATTGTTCAAGTTTCAAAACATAGCATACGGTCCATGTATAGAAAGCTGGAAAAACAGCCTGTTTTTAATTTGCGTAGATGATCACCAAAAATAACATAATGACTTATATTCATTCATTCGGTCTACAGCAGTTTAGCCCAACTTATTTATGTTTATGTCATAAAGGAGTGTTTCATCTCTCAGTACTTTCTGATTGAGGCACAATACAGGACAGCCAATCAGAACAGAGGTCATTTAAATAGATCAATCTCAGAAAATGGTCATGTACAAATGTAGTCTGTGCGTAAAAGTATCACTGTTGCTGAAGTAGTACTCTTGAGGCTGCAGGCTCTGCCCACCAGAGGCATCAGGTGTACAAAACATAGCATGTAGTGTTAAGTTTCTTTCTCTTACTGTACTATATTAAGCCCAGAATAATTAATTGTAATTTACACCAATTTAAAGTCTTTAGGATAAACTGACAAATGCTAATCATTTGTTTTTATAATAGCTAACATTACTAACAAGTTTGTGACAAGGTAGCTTATATTGAGTATGAAAACTCCACAAAATGACATGTAGTTTCATTGCATTAAATCTTTACCAGAGTGTAAAATTAGCTTGAGATTGTTTATTGGCACTTTTCAATGACTCTTCCCATGTGCTATAGCTGCACTTTGTACTGTCTGCTAAGTGGCACAGTGAGGTGCTTCTCATCTGGTGTGCAGTGCCTTTAGCTGGCTGCAGTAGTCTTTGCTTCTTTCTTTGGTGGATGAGAAATCCTGAACGAGGTGTAAGATTCAGGTTCTACACTGCCCTCTGGTGAAGTGTACTGACATTTCATGGTTCTTATATATGAGAATGTGTAACATTTAGACAGCAGCTAATTTACATAACCCCCCTAATTTACTATTTATTCAAACTTTCTTATTGAAAAATTGTTAAAAAATTCATCCCCACTGTTTATGTATGCATTTTTTTATTAAGTATTTTAAAGGCTTCTTTGTTTATCTTTTTAAACCTTTGAAGGTCTAGGCATGGTTTATTCAGTTATACATTTTTACTTGGCCTTGTAAAAACCCAGATTACTCGATAAACCGACAAAATAACTGTTATTACTAGTAAAATAAGCAATAGTGACAGCCCTAATTGCCGTATTTATCAGTGTAATCACAATACTGTATTTTGTCTGTATTGCGGAGCCCTAATTTACATTTGCATGCACTCTTCCCAAATATGCTTGCTTTTCTGTCTTACCCTTGTAAATCTAATTTCCTTTGTGTATGTGAGCTTGTGGTGATGATTTCATATTTCACGCTCGTTTGGAGACGTCCTCGTGATGCCCTGACAGTGCTGTCTGTTCATGCAGTTAATTCAGATCTTGTGTGTGCATTATTGAGGAACTCCCACTCTTCCACCCCCTTCAAACTCCACATTAATACTGTACCACTGCCATATGTGCAGACACGGACCCCCTGACAGGCAGACATGTTGTATTTATATTCAGCTGTTCAGTGCTTCATCTTTGATTTGAGTGTTTTTGTCTGAATTTGAATGTCTTGTGAATCATTGGATTTGTAAGGTATCTGCATTGGGGAGCTAACAAAACATTAGCCCGTTCACCTTGTACAGTGCACGGTGCATGCATTGTGTTGCACTAAGAATGCTTTTCCTGTTCCATCAACCTCAGAATGGCAGTTAACCAATCGATGTTCACCCAGGATTGAGAGTGATGCATCGGGCGTATTGAAGAATTAACTTTAATTAGCAGCATTAAATGGCTTGCGTGATACTGAGCATTGAGTGCTGCACGTCGCTCTCAGCCCTCCTGGGAGGTAGTTAGCAGGATGAAAGCTGCAAGAGTAGCGTCATCATAACAAGCTCGCTTTGGGTTTTTTTTTCTTTTTTCTTTCTGATGGTCTTGCAGAATGTCAAGTTCTGTCGAATATCTGCCTTGGGTTTTTTTCTGCGCAGTTCAATTTGACTCCATGTCTGGAAGCGTACAGCACAGACATAGAACTACATTCTCTCATAAAGCACAGACCATTGAAAAGGCAGTTGCTGAAATGCAGCTTTGCTTGAGTGTTCGTTTTCATTTGTGTCACCTTGCTGTCGTCTCTTAACATCTGCTGTTCATCAGATTCCATTCATTTAAACCCTGTTGTACAATGTTTACATGCATGCCTGTTTAACACAAAGTATGATCATAAAGGATCACATGCAGCCTATAGGCATCTGGTGTTCCTAGGCTAGAGTTGCTAATGTTATATACACCAGATAAACACGTAAAGACATTAGTTTGTTTTGCTTAATGTGTTCTTTAATGTGTTCTGTTTTTGGAGCGCATGCATTGTTTTATCATGTGCACGTTTTACTGGACTAGCGCAGGTAAAATATACATTGCCAGTGAAAAGTTGTGTATTTTGCTATATATTTTCATGTCTTAACAATGAATGAGGATCCATTCTAAAGGCTGGCTTTGCCTGTTTTTGTTGTGTTCTGTCTCTGTTCTCCGCAGGCCTCTTGGACGCGGCCCGAACAGCACAAGGTATAGCCTTAATACCCACGTCTCAATAAACATAGACTAGGCACCGAGTCTACATCCAGCCTTTCTTTCTTTTCCCTCATGTTTGGCACAGCAAGAAGATTGTTAGTTCTTCAATAATTAAAGATCATGCACAAGGAAACTAAGGCTGATTTGGTTATATTATGTACAGTACTGTGTAAAACACACTCATTTATTTACTTTCCCGTCAAAATGGCCATTAAGTACAAGTTATTCCTCATAAGTAAAAAAAAATGGTGTTGGGGTAAAAAGTATCAAGAATATAGAGGAAATAGGACACATAAAAACTGTGCAAGACCTGGTAGACCACCAAAACTGTCCCTCACCAGGTAAACAGTACTTAAAGCTTTCATCTTTAAGATATAATCAAGCACTACTCTTGTTTCAGATCTGTTTGTATCTATCATTCCAATGTGAGAAGACAACTCTTTATGGGTCTGGAAGGATGCGTTGCTGTCAAGAAACAGTTACTGAGAAAAGAAAAACAAAAACAAAAACAGAAGAAAATCTCCAAATCAAACAAAGAAGCTGCTGGTGTTCTCAGAATCATGAACTAACCACCCCAATGTCCAGACCTAAATATCACTGAAAATGTTTGGTGTTACCTGGATAGCAAGAAGCAGAAAATGCTGGAAAAAAATTCAAAAGGACCCCAGAGAGGTCAAGAGACTGCCCAAATTGGCAGTTAGTGTTTTCCTCCAAGTGCGTTGAGCTGCCCAATGATGTTGCATTAGCAGCAGTTCAAAAAGATGCGGTGTCTGGCTTCATGTGTCTCGGAGGAAGCCTGTGTTAACCTTCCCTCTCCTAGCTTGGTAGCATCATGTGACTGGGGGAGACCTAACTAGTGAGTGGAATTGGTCGTGACTAAAATGGGGAGAAAATTAGGTAAAACTCCCAAAAAAGAACACTACATATTTCTAACCATCTTCTGAGACTGAGCTTTGGAGTGTAGAGGTGTGCAGATTTTCTAAAAGCAAATATCACAGAAAATGAAAGCTCAAAGTGTGGACAAATACTGAGAACTTTGAAATTATATTTAGTTGTTGAGACTTCTGTGTTATTCTGTCCTAAATATATATTTCCTGCTTTTTTCGGATACTAAAAATGCTTGATTTGTACTTAATGGCAGTTTTGAATGGAAGTTGAAAGAAGTGAAGGGTGGCCTCTGACTGGTACACAGTACTATATATAGTGTTTGAACTTATTTTCTAACAGGATTGCGAATGCAATAAACAATTTCTTTGTTTCTGTCACAACTAGGTGACACAGTCTGTAAATGTTTATTTTCAGTTGCGTGCTCAGACTCCACAGACCTTCTTAGCCAGTCAGATTCTCTATGACTCATTGATTTCTTTAGTAATTAGATGTTTTTTTTTACCTGAGTATATTAAAAAGCCTTTGTTGTGGTTGTCTCTTTGTGTCGTGTTTTCTAGAATGCTTCTTCAGACAAAGCTGGGTATTTGTGGAAACAACCGGCAGCATCTGCAATAGCTAGTGCTCAGCTTGCATTATTAAAACAGCTCCTCTGCTGAAAACTATGGCCATGAAACATTAATGTGCCAATGTTCTCACATTGCAAATGAATAACAGGACCTTTATCTCTGAGAAGAATTGAAGATACACTCGGCTGAATACCTGGGCTGTATTGCATAGCTTGTGTGGTCTGGCTTGTGTCTGCTGTTCCAGTGGCGCTCTCCATGGTGCTACAGTCGGTGTCCAGTGACCACGTGTTGTCCTGGGGGCCAGGGTTCACTGCCCGGCCATCTGACCACAGCCATGGGAGAGGCCTCTGGGGAGCAGCAGGAAGTCGGCTGGCCAGTGCTCAATGCACCCATTAGGGGGGCGATTGAATTAGCCCGGTCAGCTTAGATGAGGGGCGCTGCTGATGTCTGGATGAAAGGGGGCTGTGCATTATGCAAGTATGACTCAGTCCAGGGACAACAGCAGCATAATGAAGGGCCCAGACATGCCGCTTGCTCTGAAATCATTCACAGTGCAGAGCTAGCACGCAGCACTGTATCTGGCATACATGTCTGTAATAGACAGAAAACTGGCTTTGGTGCTCAATTCATTTCACTTCTTTTGAAACACCTGCCTAGTTGGCAGTCCTTGTAGTGAATGTAGTAGGTTAATTGGTGTTTCAGGTGTACGTTTAGAGACTGCAGCTCATTAAGACATAGATAGTGTTAGGAATTCTCTAGCCTTTCATCACTACCATTGGCTGTATGGCTTGTGTTGGTGAGCGACCTCGTAGTGACGCTTAAGGTGTTTACAAAATCCCAGCAATGCCACAGTGTGTCAACACACTAGCATGCCACTACCATGTTAGTATCACTGCTGTGCTAAGAGTGGTCCACCATCCAAATCTTATCTGTTAAGTGGTGTCCTGTGCTGAGCCCCTGATCCCTTTCTATTGATAGATAGGGCAGAGTTTGACAAATTGGAGAGGATGGAGTCAGTGACTGTAAACCTACCCAATTCATCTATATGTTAGGTGTTTCCAGTGGTAGACATGCCTTTTGTTTTGTCCCCCTGGCTACAGCATTCACAGCATACAGCCTGTGGCCAGACCGAACACTTGCCTCTGCTTTTAAACACATTTAGCTGTGTGGTCGGACCCAGAACTAACTTCATCAAGTGAATTTGTTAATTGTGGTGACTGTGGTGGTCCCCCCTGCTGAGCTAGTCCGCATGGTGTCATAAATGCTCTTCTCTTGGCTGAAATTTGGTGTTGAAGGTCTTACATAAAATAAGGTGTTAAATAAGCTGCCGTTACACTGAGAGTCTATCACTGCAGAAGCTAAACAGTATCTAACAGCAGGACTTAAATTGGATCAAGGGGAAAGGAGCACTGCCATGGTCACTACAACAGAAACTTTTTAATTAATTTCATTAATGTTTTTGATAAACATTTCCTCCTTCAAAGCAATGCCTGAGTGTTTTTGGCACAGAGGCATGCTTTTAAATCATAAATACATTTATAATTATGTATATACACACACACACAAGCACGCACACACACAGATTTTCTAAGCCGCTTATCCTTCAGGGTCGCGGGGAGAGCTGGAGCCTATCCCAGCGATCATTGGGCGGAGACAGGAAACACCCTGGACAGGTCATAATGATAGTCCTATATACAATAAACAGATAAACATTTTTCTATTACTTTTGAGCTATTTTATAACATTTTCATTGGCCTAATGGCCTGAGTGGCCAGTGCAGTATCTGCTTAGCCTTGGGTGTTTCTGATAAAATGGCCAACAAGTATAGATATAACGTAGATGTACCTAATAAACTGCCAACTTGGTGCAAATTGTTCTATGAAGTCCTCTGAAATTGTGCGAGTTTTCACAGTCATTACAATCTGTGGGTTTTTAGTTAGGGTTTGTTTGTGTTGGACTAAACATGGGAGACTGACAGCATTTTGTGCCATGTAGTCTAAAAACCTCTTAAACCATTGAGGTGGCACTTCCTTGAAAATAGATGTGTTTGACTAGTGCTCTTCACTCTTGAACGAGCAATGTGTGAATAGCTGTAACAAATCTCCTTGTTCTTCCCTTTTATCCACTTCCCCGTCAGTATGAGGGTAGATCTTGACTTTCTTTGTGACAGTCATAAAGCCTTAAAGTCTGCGCACAGCACAGCTATTAAATGACCATTCACTTTCAGATCATATTAGAGTCAAAGGGTTTTAAACAGTGGCTTCATCTTGTTCAGATTCACAAGGTCAAGTGGAACTGCAAGCTTAGAGTAAACTTGGACCTGCTAAGTTCACATGACGTAGCATATGATGCAATAATCGTGCACTTTAGAAATGGCTTCCCTGACTCACGCTCTGCATTATTGATGGGTCCACCTCACATCTCCCCACCCAAAGCTCCAGCGCATAAAAGAGTGTTATTTATATCTGCCTCTAACACCCTGTCAAATACTACTTTTGTCTTTGCTATTGTCGCCGTCTCCAGGGTGGCTGAATGCGTGGGGCCTGTTTTAAGTAATAAAGTGACTCAAGTTGCCTGTCTAGAACCTACTTCACCAGACTTGCTGAGATGTTCTAAAATATTTAGGTGTGTAGATGCTGACAGGCTACTGTATAATGCCTACATAGCGGATATGATTATGCAGGTCTGAAAATGTGTACACTGATGTCAGCTCGATGGGCCTACAGGGATGTTAATTTTAACCTGTCTGTCTTTGTGTTCCTTTCCAGAGTGCGGATGGCAGTGTGGTGGTGCGCAGCGATGCTCGTGTGTCCTCCCTCACCCTGAAGTATGCCCAGTACACAGACGCGGGACAGTACCTCTGCACGGCCCGCAACGCCGTCGGCGAGAGCTCTCAGCATATGTACCTGGAAGTGCGCTGTAAGATCAGTTCCTGTTTCTCTAGTTTAGTTTTGTGATCTCTGATAAGTATGGAGAAGTATGGGAGAAGTATGGAGAAGTATGGGCGTGGAATCTCAAACGTCCAGATTTTGAAATACTGGATACAATAGTACATACTAGAAAGCTATTACATTTTTGCAAAATTGCCTGTCATGACACAGTGTCAGGATATTTTTTCTGACATTTAAAGTTGGAACAGACAAAGTAGTGACACTATAAAAAAAAAGGTCCATTCATTTATCATACTGCGCTGCACTAAATCGAATTAAACAGAACTAATTATGCACTGTTTTTAAAAGAAGGAAAAGAGAAAACGCTTTCATAAAAAATTCCCTCAAAAAAAGAAAAATGAATTAAATAAAAAATAAACAGACAAGAACAGTCATAAAAATCCAAGCAAGTGTTAGGTGTTTTACATTTTGGTTTGTTAGAGTGAAAGCAGATGAGAACCTGCTTTTTTGAAGCTGATAAGACTGGTACACTTCTTAGAGTGCACTCAGTCATCAGATAACTGCAGAAAATCAAATTTTGTCAGTAATCCGATCAACGTGTTTGTATACACTTGAGTAATCAGATAATATAAAAACTCTGGGTATACATGAGTGAAGCAGATCGGATTTCTGCTTTGCAACCGGCCAATAAACTCACAAAAAAAGACGTGACGCAAACGTTACGTAAAACTCAAACTTCATGCCGTGGCTTTTGAAAAAAACATCGCTCCACTTGACCTGAAAAAATTAACATACATCATCTAGAAGATGAAGAATATTTAAATCCCTTAATTCGTCAAGCATACATTTGGTTTCAGAGTCACTTCAGAAGTGTTTTGCTGCGTCTCGTGGCAGCGCTGCTTGCTTCTTTCCGGTCTGTTTTCGCGCATGCGCAGACTGAGAAATCTAAATGAAATCCGAATAAGAGTATACATGCACTGAGAAATGTGATTACAGAGCTAAAATCCAGCTCTCTTCATCAGATTTCTAGATTGGAGTATAGTGTTTACATGACCATTTGAATAGTCAGATAACTGCAGAAATCCCATTATGATTGCGTTATTTAGTGCATGTAAACATACTCAGTGTGGTAGGCTGTGTATAGGTTGTTAGAACACCTTGTGCAGTAATGTTAAACTTGAAGGTTGCAGTGAAAACTGTTTTCGAAGCAGTCACGAAGAACATAGTGTGTAAAGCAGAAAACTAGTATTTTTGGAAAGTGGTTCATTTCATGATTACATTGAGTGTTTGAAGGTTTTGATTTTTGTGTTTTGAAGTTTTCATAAGTATGCTATACCCAGAAGTGTAATGGAACATATTTTGCTGTCAGGTCACATCAAATATATGGATCATTGAATTGAGTTAATTCAAAGTCAGAGTTCAAAACAAAATTTGGGACTTTTAACTGACATACATACAATTATAATATTTATTACAAATATCAATAGATTACATTAAAACATAGTTTTCTTAATTGCTGAAAATGTGTGATTTTCAGTACATGTTTGGTTTAAAACTGACTTGAATCTAATTGCTCACCATGTAGCCATGAGTGACAAGGACGCAGTGTAACTTTCTGCTCTAAAATGTGGAGGTGTGGCTAAAATAAGGCTCCGTCTATGGACTAAAACTCTGTTTTGGTAGTGTCACAAAAATGTTGGGCAGTATATTTTTTTGTTTTGTTTTTGTTTTTTTGCTTTTAAAACCAAGAGTCATGAGAAATCTAAATATTTCAACTTCACTTAAAAATAAAACAGAACGATCTTAAACATTGAAAAAATACAAAAATAAGTGTTATTTTTACAAGATATACTTTGCTGCAGTATAATCCTCCTCTTTTCTAGGAAGGCTTAACACTTGATGTTGGAGCATTGCTGTTAGAATTCAATAACATTCAGCAACAAGAAAGAAAATTAGTGAGGTCAGGCACTGATGTTGGATGATTAGTTTTGGACCACAAATGACATTCCACTCATCTCAAAGGTCTTGAATAGATCTCCATCACTCCAGAGAATGCAGTTCCCCAATGATGGGGGCTTTACACACCCATAGTTGATGTTTAGCAATGGACATGGTGACGTTAGGCTCATGTGCTGCTACTCCAGCACATATTGGCAGTGCTTTTATATGGAGACTAAACAAGCTGTATGTGCATAATTGATCTCCTGTGTCAGCAGTCGTTGCTCCTTGAAGTAGATGAATTCACTAATTTAAAGGGGTGCCTGGATACTTTTGGTAATGTAGTGTAGTGTAGCTTGCCAAGTCAGGCTGGTTGGACAAAGGTGAATGTTTTCTGTGGCTTTTAGGTAAAATGAGATCCATTTTACCATTTATAGGATTTAAGCTGTCGCATCATCAGCAGTATATCACTGATATTTACTAAGCTACATCGTGCTGTCATTTCTTCCAGAGAAATGTTGTGAAACAAACCAATAAGAAAATGACAAAATTGATGTTATAGGTGTTATGACAACTTGACACCAAGGTGGCCAAAAGCAGACTGTATGACAGGAATAAGTGTACTGGAATAAGCTTTTATGAATGTTTATGTAGGTTTATGTAGCACTAACATGTTTCCAAAAACATTTTGTCTTTGGAACATTTCAATACCATTTGTTTAAAAATGTGAATATTTGGACATCGAACATGGTTAAAAATGCTCCATTCGAAATTGAGAGCTTTTCATTTAAAACAAGTAGTTTTAAATTTGCCTGTCTCAAGTACCAGTTCTACATGTTAGAGAGAGTTTAGGAGTCAAATTTTCAACATAACCTCATCAGTGTAACAAATTTTACCATACCTATAAAAGATCAAAACTTTGCTTTTTGCAAGATGTGTACAACAAACCTGCTGTTTTGGGGATCATCAGTCAAAACTTTCGACACCACACACTATATTAGACAAGAAAATGGAAAGTATGACAAACCAGCAAGTGCAAAGCCTGCAGCTGGTTGCAAGCCAAGTTTTGCTGAACTGTCAACAGCAACACTTAAAGAAGAATCTGCTTTTGCTGCTTAGTAAACCACAGGCTTGTCAGCTCATGAGCCAAATTAGGCTCAGTTCTTTCTTTGTTTTTTGTTGAAGTAGACTAGAGTCTTCCAATTAAACACCCTATTAAATATCTATTCAAAAAAACAATAAATCTGTATCTGATTTTAATGAAATTGAATCGGTGGTAAGTAATGGCTCCTAAAAAGCCTGATCTGAGCATCCCATCCTCTGAGGTGCCAGTTTGATCACCCTGAACATTCACGATTTCATCTGATTTGATGTGTAGTATCAGGCGACTGCCCAGGTTGCATGTGCTGGATTGATACAGCAGTCACAGTACATCAAAAACAGCCCTGCCGGCAAGGAGGAACGATGACTTCCTTTGGCCTTGCGTAATCTGAGTGTAGAGAGATATTAGCTGTGAGATTTCATGCCCAGTGACTGATGCTTAATCTTAACCTTATCCGGATTTAAAATGTAGCGCAGTCTTATCTGGAAATATAAAGGGAGCAAAAAGCCCTAGTTATTTTCTCATAGTATGTTAAATATTTTAGTTCTGAGCATTATTTTAATGATCTTATGTATTGTTTAGTGTTAGGGATGTCAGCTGCTGTACATTTCAAATAGATTCCAGGGCAGTGCTAGCAGGGCCGCAGACACTACTTAAAGAGTTAACTCAAATGTGTGCAAATGCTGATTGATTTCCCCACTGTGCATGTTGTTGTTTTTGTTTTTATGCTAATCGGAGCACATGCTGGGCAAAAATCTGCCAACGACTTTGTTTGCGGCTTTTTTTGACGTCTCAGCGTGTGTTAACAGGGTGCCACTGATAGCATCTAGAACGTGAGACCCAGTGGCAGTGTCGTAAGGGCAGGAGGGAGAATGGCAGTGTGTTCTAGTTGCAGATAACAAGTGTGGATTGAGCCACACATTATGTGCAAATAGGACACGCTGAAAAAAATGCGTGCCATGCTGCTTTCCCCCCAGCCTCCGCATGCTGCTCTGGAAGAGGAGGAGAGACTCATCCGAGCGTGATTGGCTTTCATGTAGGAGAGCGACCAGACATGTTCAGCAGCGCGCTCTCCCTGTGTGCGCTACCTACCACTTATTTTCACTTAAGAGTCCGCTTTTAAGATTATAAACATTGAATCCCCACAATTACAGCTTCAAAGGCTTTTTATGGGTTAGGGCTGTCGTACTTACTCAGTAAAATCTCAATAAAAGAATGTAAATTAATCTTCTTGATGAACAATGATTAGTTTACAGTTTTCTTTTATTAATAAAGTCTGGGGCCATCACTGTCGATTTTCTGATTAAACAAGTAATCAGTAATTTGTTTTTTAAGATACCAACAGAATTATAGTACACTCATGTGAATTCCTGACAATTTTCATACTTGGATCCTTTTGATCACTGTTTTTAAAAGAATTGTTTTGCCATAGAACAGAACTGGCCTAATGATTTCTGTGAAATAAAAAGTGAATTCTTAGTTTATTTTGGTTTCATAGAATAATCGTGTTTGTTGTATTATTAAAACTCTCCAGGTTCTGCACTACTTTCTTATTTTATTTATTTATTTATTTGGGAAACAAAGTTAAAATCTTAAAACAGAAAATTGGCCAGTTTTTGTGGTGTCCAGGTACACACAGGCAGGCTAGCTCTCCCTTTGGTTAGGGCTTCAAGAGCGGAACAGAAAGCCTAACATGTTAGATTAACCATGAACACAGTTTCCTAATTGTGACAGTGGAATCAGCCAATCACGCTTGGATTCCTGATGGGTGGGACCAATTTTGTTAAAAAAAAAAGTCACTCCTGTCTTTCTAGAAGTTCTAGATACTTGACTGACTGAATAGAAGTTGTAGACATTTGTTTACAGTCATTTGTCAGAAATTAAAAAAACAGCTCTGCCTGGGTTCTTTACTAAAAGACTAACACTGAAAACTAAAACATACAAGTTAAAATATGTTAATATGACTGCTACAGGCTTAAATAATACATACCTTGTCTTTTATAAGCTTCAAATGTTCATGTTTAATCTAGAATTATTAAAAAATGTTCATGTAAATCATAGTTAGCTTAGCACTGACATACTACTAGAATCCCATAGAGGTGCTGGCAGAAATTAGGATTATTTTAGGGGTGGCCCAAGCTGAAGGCCTCACTCTTATAAATCATGGTTTGCCACTGTAACTAGTGATGAAAACACATAATAAAGAAAAAGCACAGGCATATGAAACAAACTGACTACAACAACTAACAGTGTTAAACATCATCATTTCCTAGTAATAAACGCAACACAAAACTCTGTTTGTTGTGGTTTCGCCAGCCTGCCTATTCCTTTGAAATCAAGAGATTCTCACTCATTTCTTTGGGTGGTGCGGCTGAGTGACTGAAAGTGAAAAAACACATAACAGGCTAGTTAACTGATTTAGCTGATTCATATATGCTATGAAATGTCCCTATAAATTGATACAAATAGATATCAAATACGAAAATAACTCAACAAGTCATCAATACTTATAAGATTTATGCCTACCGAAGTAGTTTCACTCTTGATCTTGATCATGAACATGAACTCTTCTATGTGTTCAGTAAACCAGCTAAAATAACTATGAAAACACATTTATAAAAAAATATTTTAAAAGATTTTTGTTTTTAACTTACTGCTACTTAGGTGAGAGGAAATCCTGTCAGACTCCTCATTCTCTGTATCTGATAAACATACTGCAAAAAAAAACAAAACAAATGTTTTAACTTAATTAGTTACTAGGCTGCCCTAAAATTCTGAGTTAACTGAACTGGTCCCTTTCACACCATTTTTTTAATTTTTTATTTTTTTTTTGGCAGTGTAGCATATCTGAACACTCTTTTTAGCGCTGTAAGTCAAAAGCAAGTGTGCTAATAGCTGCCCTGTTTTGAAGAATGTTCAGACTGCTGAATACAGCCTTATAATGATATACAGATGCCATGTTTATGTCCATGTCTTCAAATTGCGAACTAATCACTAAGCCTATTCATCATAGGTTTTATTCAATTTTTTTATCAAGTAATTTTGACAGCCCTATTGAATTCTTTCAGAGGTTATAGTCTTGATGTTATGCATGTTTTGTTAATTATTTCAATTCATCGTCAAAATATTCAGTACATTACTCTTATAATTACTACTATAATCAATAGTGTTGATTACAGTCTAGTGTGGATCCAAAAGAAGGTCATCTGATATGTTTTTCCGCTTGTTTTTCACTCTTTTTTCCTTTCACGCCAGACGCCCCCAAAATCCTAGGCTCAGTTGCGGTCTACACATGGGAGGGAAACCCGGCCAACATCAGCTGCGAGATCCTGGCGCACCCCAGTGAAGTGTCTATTGTGTGGCTGCGAGATGGACTCCAGCTGCCCAACGCCAACACCTCCAACATCAAAATCTATAACACTCCCTCCGCCAGCTACCTGGAGGTAAAAGCCCTCTCCCACTTCCGCTAGCCATTTCCTCAGTGCATAAACATTTAATTCTTACACAGATCAGGGAGTGCGTTGTGTTGCCCTGAGACTGTGTTTCAGGCTCTGTCGCTGATCAATAATTGAGCAGGGGAAGCACATGGTGAGGGGTAAACAGAGATGCTGCTAATGGAACAACAAGAGCAACAGCTGAGGAGGATCCCTAAGGTTAATGCATGCGCTCTCAATCCGCCGCAGGTTAACCCGGACTCCCAGAACGACTTTGGCAGCTACAACTGCACCGCCTCCAACGAGATTGGGACCGAGTCCAAAGAGTTCATCCTCATTCAGGCCGGTCCGTCTGCTCTCTGTGACTCGACCTTGACACATACTTCACTGACTTCTTCGCAAGTCTAAGTGTTTACAAACTGTTTCATCTTCTGTAATGCAGCTTGTGTTTTTGAATATAGGGGAACACTGGGTAGGTTGTCATAGCACTGTTACCTGGTACACCAGGAAGAGTTGTTTAGAAATATTGATACTGAAATGTTATTGGGGAAATGGTATAATTAAATGGTTAAGACATAAACAAAGTCATTGGGTTTGATGTGAAATATGCCATCTAGAGGAGCTTATCGACTCAGAGTTGTTCACAGTTGTGGTGACAGAAATATGTGAAGAGTTTAATGCCTTTCACAGCTACTTCACAGAAAGTTTTTATGTAAAATATTCACGAACACTCTGCCTAGTCATCTGAGACATTGTTTTACTATTATTATGAGATAAGATCCATTCCATAATCTACGTTCATGACAGAGAGATACATGCAGGGCATTATGAAGCCAAGTAGTCCCTAAAAGAAAACTTATTTTTTTAAGATTTACCACTTTTTCCATAGGTCTACAACAAAGTGACACAATGTAAAGCTTAATAAAGAGTTTTTTTGTGGTAATGAAAAAGAGAAATAGTAATTAAAAGTGCTTTTTGTTCTCTTCAATCTCCTGCTCTGGTCAGCACAGATGCGTTCAAGCAGTTTGAGTAGCACCAGATTAACAGTGAAATACACAAACACTGTCCTCTGTGACTGCATTCTAGACAACTCTTAACTTTTGAGTTTTTTAGCATTAACTAATTTAATGAAATTCTTAAATGGAGCTGGTTTGTTAGATATATCATAGGTTTATGGCTGTTTCTTCTCTACATATGTGCTAATTTCACCTCCTGCTGGAGCAACCTCAGTCTGCAGGACAGGAGCTCCAAAACCATGTCTGTATGCTTTACATATTAGAACAACAATGCGTTATCCATTGTTATAGCAGATGCACTCTGGAATTTAGCTGTAGATGCCTTTAGGAAACCATTAACATTTAATTTAATATTTAATATTATTTAACAAGATGTTTAAAAGTAATTTAGTTGTCTCTGTTCTCTTTCCCAACCTGGTGATTATCTCCTTTGAAGCACATCAGCATTATTACATTAATTCAAAAGCATAAATCAAACAGCAAATTATATATAAAAGAACCTTTCTTAAGCTTTTGAGTTTTATTTCTGGTTTTGGTGAAGAAGTTTCATTTTCATGATGCATCATGTAGGTTCACTGGTGGTTTTTGATAAAATGGCTATATTAGTGTTGTAGACATCATGACCCCTGGTTTCTATCAACACCACTGTAAAGAATTCTACGAGGCACCATTTCACATCAAACCACTCTGAATCACAGACAAGTGAATTATGCAGAAAGAAATGGAGTTGCCATTGAAGTCTTGTAATCTTCTAACCTTAGTTAAATCTGAAGGATTTTTATATTTTCAAGTAAAATTCAAAGTGACATTTTTATGTTATTTATGAGAAGGACATGAACGCACTTTTTGAAATCATCTTGGTGACTATAAAAAGGCCAGAGTAGTAGAGTATCAGTTTAGTTTGACATACTTTCCTCAAGTTTGAAGGTCATTAGCACACCCTTTAGCATAGTAGCCCTTCTGGGCTTGGTTGTCACACACATGACAGAAATGATAGTCACATGTCACCGACTCCACCATAGGAATATACAGAGTGTCAGGCCTCCTCATTTGAGGGTGAGATGAAATGCTCTTCTGTGGTTTGTGTGGAGCAGTAGCAGGCCCTGGGAGACGGGGATTCAGTGCCTTCATTATAAAAACTGGGCACAGCAAGACTGCACATTTGGCAGAACACTTTATATCTGCCACCACTCTGATTCCACTGATGACTTATCAGTGAAGAGCAATAAAGTGCTGGAAACTAGGCCCAGTTTAGGGCAGCTTTGGAGGACAGGGTTTTAACAGAGTTTCCTGAATTCAGTCTCTTGTTAACAGAAATATGAATTACAATAAATGGTCTTGAATCTAATAAATTGATAAATCTTGATTCCTGTTTGTGTGCAATGTTCTTTAACCCCTTTTCACCTGTTTTGGAGGTGCCTCAGTTCGGCCTTGAATTTTAATATTTTTTAATTAAAGAAATTTTTGAAATATTTTAGTTAAGTTTTAATTATATTTTGAAATATATTTAAAATGTTTTTTTTTAATATTTCATTTTGTGCTCTTTGATCAGCAATAAACTTTGGTGTGTTCATTCATTGTAGCTTCAATGGTAGGTATTATGATTGACATCCAACCCCACTATGGTAGTCATAAATGCACATCATCTATTGAAATTATCTAGTACCCTAATATCTCATCATGCCAGTGGAGTTACTATGTAATGCGTTCCCATTTTGCGCAGGACGCCCTGCCTTTTCATTACATCTAGATTTGGTTCATATCAGTCATTTGGTTTCTGAGATAAGAAAACCAGAGTGAAAAGTGTGACAACCAACCCCGTCTTCCCCTGTCACTGTTTGTGCTTGCATGCTTTCAGCAACCATTCTATCTATCATGGAGATTAATATGTCGCTCTCTAGTCAGTGAGGTCTAATCAAATCTACATCATTGTCCTTGGAAGAAGTAACTGCTTTATTGCTGCCTCGTTTTGATAGCTTGTGATGTTTTCTCCCCGGCCCCTAGATGTGCCCTCAGCACCTGTCATCACTCAGGTGGAGCCCTACTCCAGCACGGCTCAGCTGATATTCGATGAGCCTGAGGCTTCGGGAGGAGTTCCTGTGCTCAAGTACCGCGCCGAGTGGAGAGCTGTGGGCCGGAACAACTGGGTCCAGCGAGTCTACGAGGTCCGAGAAGGTACGCGCACCAGCCTAAGGAGGATGGTGGCATATTCTATGGTCTGTTTCACTTAAGTGGTGGAAGAATTTGTAGCCATTTTGGCAAGCCATGAACATGACTCTCTTTTAGGGGTGAATATGGTGAAGTAGTCAATGCCTTTGTGGGTGTGATCCTAGTTTAAGTGTTCAACTCTACACCTACACACTTGTGCAGGCTTTAAGGTTAGGACCATGCCACTAAAAGGGGTGAAATTCTAGAACATGCGCGGTACTGTGCAAAAGTCAGAGACCGTCATTCATTCCCTTAATTTCCGGTACATTTTCCAGTGTAGGAAAAAAACACAGAAAACTATATGTTTAACAGAAAATTGCACAGAAGCCTCAATAACTAAAAATAATAGCAAAGTTTTCAGTTTTCAATATGTCTGTCTGTTGCCTTTTATTACAGCTTCCATTCTTTTCAGGAGACTAGCTTTCAATTTAAAAGAAATCTGCAGGGATATTTTCCATACTTCAAAGTTCATTTGTAGAAGTTGGTTGCATTCTCTGCTTCTCATGATCAGAGTTATCCCAAACATATTCAGTGAGGTTGAGGACTGGACTCTGGGGTGGTTAGTCCATTCTTCTGACAACACCACATGTCTACTTCCTTTTCTCAGTAAGAGCTTCTTAACAGCTACACATCCTTTAAGAGTTGTCTTCTCACAGTGGAAGGATGGACAGAAACACCTTTGAGTTTTTCAGATCTGAAACGAGAGTGAGGCTTGATTTTCTCTAGTCAGTCTTTAAGTTCTGTTTATACGATAGTGACAGTTTTGGCGGTCTACCAGGTTTTGCTCAGTCATTAGGAATATCTTTTAATATTTATTTACTTCTGGTTTTAACGTTTTCTTTCTTTATGCTAGTGGATTGTCTTATGTTTAATCTTTGCAGAAATATCTCCTGAAAAATGAATAGCTTGTACTTACTGGTAGTTTTGACTGGAAATAAAATAAACAAAAGGTGGTCTCTGATTTTGGTACAGTAAACATTGGGATAGTTCTTTATAGGGCTTTCTTTGTACATTGTGTGTTCATTAATCTCATTAAAAAGCTATTACAGATTTAGATTCCTTGATGTTTTAAGGGTAGAGTTTCACTCAGGATCACCCACAGGTGTATAACGCCTCTTTTGCACAATGATTGAAAACAACAACATTAATTGTCACTGCAAACTGAAATGATATAAAATATTACTTAGCCTCGCAGGTCTCTTCAACTCATCTCCAGCCAGCCCCCCATAGAGAGCTCACTTAAATAGTCCATTTTCTCTTCCTAACCTGAGGACTTACAGCTGGGCCCCATCAGTGTGGGAGGTGCCACAAATAGGCTACTGAGCTGCTGATTACTCCGCCATTTGTTACAGACGAAAGCAGATAAAAATAAAATTTAGTAGACGTTTGTTCTGTTAATAACTATCGTTGGCTGCCAAGCTAGCAAGTAAGCCATACAATTTGCAGTGATTTACCTTCTGTCTGGAACATCTTCAGCACGTTCCGTATGCTTTCTCTGCAAAGAACGCTGGTGTATCAGAGATGTGCTGTTATGGCAGCCTAGCTGAGTTTCCCAGCATGTGCAGAGAGTGAGACTGTAGTCAGCTTTAACCTTGAATTGTCTAAACTTTTGACAATTTTTTGTTGCCATGTCTTGTTAGGACTGTCATTGTTATGCAGTTTTAAAGACTCCCAGAGTCTTTCTCAGAACAATTAGATTTGCTTTTGTTTGATAATTTTCCTCAAGAATGGGGCATGTCTTGTGCAGCAGCATGTTTTTCACGTTATTTCATGTACCATCATAATTTGCTAATTCCACATACTTTTTGAGCAAAGACCAAGTATATAAATTCCCTTTGATGAGGAATCAAACCCCAATCTCAGACACACAGGGTTATGCTGTCTGCTACACTTTTGAAACTAGCACCATTCTACTGTCCTAGATAACACTGTTGAACTCTTCTCAGTAAATACATTTAAATAGATAATTCTGTTTAATTTCAGAACTTTGCCTTCTATACAAGTGACACAGTATGATTTCATTAGTATATTAATTTAAATGGTGTGTTTTCTTTATCATGTTTTAGTATATTTGAATTATTCATTTAATAATTTAGTTGTCAATGAATATTTTTCAATGAATATATTTTAAAGGCTTGAAAGCAGTCACAATCACCGGCCTTAAACCAGAAACGCAGTACGAAGCCAAGATGTCTGCTATCAATGGCAAGGGAGAGGGAGAGAGCAGCTCTACAGTTGCCTTCAAGACGGAGCCTGTTCGTGAGTAGTGCTTTTTTCTGCCTTCTATTAAGAACACACTGTTCCATTAATACTGTAAAATGCAGTCGGGCAGTGTGAGGCCACTAGCTGCTGTGCAGTCTCAATGATACCGTCTGTGCTTTAGGTGTGGAGAAGCGCCAGCCTTAATGATGTGATATGAGGGGTCAAATGTGCCTTCAGCTCTGAGCAGCTCTTGCAGTTTTCAGTACATGACATTTTTGCTTATTTGAATGTTCTCTGTTGCTAAGAAATGTAAATGACAGATACTCAGCTCACGGCACATTGCGATATCTGCATTCAACATTAGGGCTAAATGAATTCACAGATGAATAATGCATGTATGTTCGTGTAAGACAGTTCTATTTTTTAGTTTGCAGCTGTGCACGATTTGCCACTCAAGTTTCTCACATTTTTGGTGATGACCAAACCACAGTGAAAAGATCATGGCGTCCTGTTCCTGACAGATCAGCCTGTGATATTGATGTGATTTTGCTGCTAATCTCAGCCGATGCAAGAAGGCCCTACACAGTCAGAGCAATTTGGCCTGATTGCTCCCTCTGGTGGCTACATGTGTGGCTTCTGGCTCAGAGCACCGGTAAAAGCCAAAGCCCACTCATGCAGCTGCCCTTACATAATAATACAGCAAGCTGTTCACATGATGTTCTTTTAAAGGGGAATTTTATCGATTTTTATTTATAATTTACTGCATAATTCAGTCATTGAAATGTAAACAGTCATTCACAGTGGTTTGATGCGTAAAGCGCTGTTCTAGAGTCAGAATTGTTCATAGCGGTGGTGATAGGAACCAGAAATCTGAAGCCTTAAAGGCCTCTAAAAGCTATACCACAAAGTTATTAGCCTAGTACATGGAAACTTTCCCACAATTTTGGATGCTTGAAACCAACATTAACCTAAATTTGCACTTAAAACCCAACTGCAAACGTTGCATATGTCTCAACTTGCTAACAAGAAGCAAGTTAGCAAGTTTCATGAAACAAACAATCAAAATGGCAATGGCAAAAGAGACAATTTATTGGGTGAAGGTTTATTGGGTGATTGAAAAGAAGACCCTCCTCCACACCCACAGACTACCTCAAGGTTGGTAGTTTTATTTTCTCAGTTACTTGAGCCATGATGGCAAACCTTTGCATAGTACATTTTTGTTCATCAAGGTACAAACAAGGTAGGTTTAAATATATAAAGGTAGGTTAAAAATATATAAATAATTGAAAAAGCTTATGGTACAATGATGTTTTCTAACTAAAGGTACTGAAGATGTACCCTCTTGATGGTTCAGTACTTTTTTCTGAGAGTATAGCTGAGTGTGTTCTGTGCTCATGATTTACATATATATATATATATATATATATATATATATATATATATATATATATATATATATGTAAAAAAAAGGAGCGTCACTGACAACTGGGAAAAAATATATATATACAGATGATAAAAAGGCTGTAAATATGTGAATTACACCTCGTGGATGATTTTATAGCAAGAACAACAGTCTATCAAAAAATACAAGCCTTTTTTGGGTTAACTACGGGAGTAATTGAATGAAACTTTGTTTTTTGAATTTTTGAGGTTTTGCTTCATGTAACAATCAAGAAATGTTGTAAGCAACTCACAACATGCAACTTGTTGCGTGGATGTTTCATCATATAAAGCCAGTCTTACATTAAATGGTTATGAATACACTGCCTAATGCATGAGATATAGTTTTACTACTAATTTGTAATAGTTCTGAGAGAGAGTTTGGAAGCTAAAATGTCATTTTTAAATATGCGCCTGGCGGAAAGATACACTATTTTGCAGGCCGTGCAAAATATTACTAAAAGAAAAACATCACCAACATTGTAAAGAAAATCTCAGTCAGTAAGTTTCTCTATGATGACCACTCTGACTGACTTTACATCTCAACCACTGAATTATGTAGAAATTAAATAAAAGATCTGTGGAAATAATAAAGCCGTCACTGATGGGCTGGTTCTGTACATACCTGACCAAAGGTAAGCTCTTAGATCATATTAGAGATCCTGCTCATCTTACTGAAGGGCAGATGTCTGGTGTGCTGTGCTGAAGCCTGCGACCAGGTTAGGTGAAGTGTGGGAGGCACAGACATGATCCATCTTGCTGTCCGATGGACATTAATAAAACTTTTCAATTTTCATACCTTCCATTGTGTTTTGATCATCAATTTTATTTGTTTTTCATCCACGTTGTCCACCCCCTCATTGGATCATTCAGGTTATTCTTACTCAAGTAAGTGCATCATACACTGTAAGCCTGAAGCTAAGCTCTGTTGTTTGTGTTATTGTATTTAAATCTAATTCTACACATTTATAGTCTGTCCTACTCTGTGATTCCAAGATAAAGTTTGGTCAGTTTTAAGTAGATTAGACAGAACAAATTGCTTCTAAACTAACTGAGTTTATGAAACATTTCTTGTTTATGCTCTCTAGATGGCATTTTTCATTTTTTCACTGAGGAAACAGGTTTGTTTGGTGATTATATATGTTACATATTACATATTGATTGTATGCCTCTGAAAAACAACGATGAATACAAACATTTATGGATTAATATAATGCAAAATTTGAGACCTTTCTTTTTTAAATCAATGACTGAACCCTAACGTAGTATGATAGTTGCATATATACGCTGTGTGGGTAAGTTTACAGGGAGTCGTTAATTTGCTCACTTAATTAGAACAGTGTATTGGTGTGAAGTATTCAAAGCTCAACGCCTTTAAATACTTCTCCGGCAGTTCGGATTCCTCCTGTGACGTGCTAATCACATGCTATGTGCTGAAAGTCATGCATGTGTCTTCTTTGTGCTATTGTATTATGTGAATACTTTGGAGTTTCCTCTGTTTTTGGCATTGACCTCATATAAACGTTATTCAGATTACCCACTTAGTATAAATCTCTAGCATTTTGCACTCTGTTTAATAGGGGTGTAAAAACACATAAATCTCCAGCAATACCCCAGCCATCCACGGCCGGGAGTCTAAGAGAGCAATATTGGCCTCACTCTCTGGGTGGGTAGGATGATGGTCCCTTTATGCCCCATCGTGATCCTAGCCAATGCAGGTGTCTGTTAACTAAGCTAACAGAATTGGCAGTTAGCGTTCTCCTCCAAGTGTGTTTAGCTGTCCATTGCATTAGCAGAAGTTTCTTGCACTGTAAAAGATGTGTTAATGGTGTTGACAGAGCATAAGAGCATAAGATTTTCGTTCTGTTAACTTATGATTACAAGTAACTTTTAGAAGTTAAAACACTTTTTTTTAAACAGTGTGCACTTTAAAGTTATACAACTTTTTACTTAAAAGCAAGTGACCTTGTCAACTTAATCCGTCAGTTGAACTTCTAATAAAGTTAATAGAGGAATTATTCGTGTTTCAAATTTGTTATCTTGATCACTTAACCAACACTTCTGTCGTGTTGAGATAAGAAGGTGAAAATCCAAAAATAAAAAAATAAAATAAAATTTATCAGAAGATTAGTGGCAATGCAGCTACATGCATTTTGGAATGTTAGAATGGACATTATAATTAATTACACTAATATAAAATTATAAATGCATTATTTATTTGGTGAAAATAACATTACATGTTACAGTATGTATTGAATTAAATTGAATTAAATCATTAAATTTAATTAAATTGTGAGGTCAGATATTTTACACCCCTACTTTTTAATAATACTGGTCAAAGCCTACAGAAGCAGACTTATTTTTCAGAGTTGTGCTTCTTTCAGAGGAAATTCTGCTCATTCTTTCTGCTTTCAGTGTTCTGATCGACAGACTGTTAAGAACGTCTTGTTTTGTAGTTTGTGTCTTTGTGTCAACTGACACTAACTCCTCAACTTATGTTTCTTATCCATGTTTTTCCATGTTCACATCGTCTCTGTTGTTTTTGGATTTTCCATGTGACTTCTTCCAATTTCCTTTCCACCAATCATGTTCGTGCGTACGGTGTGCCTTTTGTCATGTGGCTTGCATGGTGCTGGTGATGTCGTCCACTCTGATGAACAGAAGGTAAACACTTGACTCTCACTCTACAGCTCATATGTAGGATTAGTGAAGCCTCGCGGCTGGATCATTGCATTCTCCCTTAGCCATCACATCATTCCCCATTGCCTCCACACGTCTGGAATAAAAACTCTTCAGTCAAGTCATGAAAATTTATCTAGCCCACATTTTCGACAGACGCTTCCCTTGAGCAACCACTGTGTTCTGACTGCTTAGAATATTATCTGAGGAGAATATAGAGTCAGAAAAAAAAAAAAAAGTTTTAAGCGGTGTCCTTCCAACCATAAAAACTACTTCAAAAGCTCTGGAGCTGAAAAACAATTCCCCAGAGGTAGTGCCGGGTAGATGACTCAAGAACATCATCTCTCCCTTTTATGCCCGCTATAAACATTTTGACAAGCAGGAGTTTGAGGGATGTTCCATATTGATGTCTTTTCCTCCTGTACTGCTTTGTATATGCAGTCAGAGTGGAAATAAGAAAGCCCATCATTAGGTCTTTTTGATAAATCCAGTGGTTGACCTCAATGGTTCACTCACTTTCCATTTCCACATTCACACTCTTCCATATGATTTTACAAATGTGCTTTGGGTGTATAATTCTGTGTTGAAATGTATGCGGTGAGTTAATAACAATTACCAGTTTTTTTTTCTCATTTCTCTGCAATGTTTTTGTCTTTTTAAAAGTTATTATTTTTCTAAATCATACATACGTTTTCTAAAGTGGAGAGAAAAGCAAATTAAAATATGGTTTGCTGAAATTGCACCATGTCTTCATTAGGTTATTATGACTTTCATTAACGCTAAGAGGTAGAGTTAAATATAATTCCAAAATAACATGATTAATGTAATGGTTACCTAAAAAAATTAATTTGCATTACAATTTGATTTACATTCTGTATAGAAAAATTTTTCAGTTAGGTTTGTGCCTGGTGGCTGTTTACTGAATTGCCACGGTAACAGGCCCCATTTACCACTAATTTAATTTATTTTATGCAAACCGTAGGAAAACACTTGTATTCCCACATGGCAGGTTAACTGAACTCTTTGAACGTTAGGCCATGTGATGTCCTAAATTAATACCATATTTATTGTGTACATCATGGATGAAATGTAGAAACACGTCTGTTGAGCTGCACTGGCTTGACATGCTCGGTACTGCAAGTATATTATATGCCTGTGTATGGTAAATGGTATATGTCTGTATGTTATAGTGTCCATTTTAGGACATCCTTAGACCATCAGGTTTTAGACATCAGACAAAACCGCTTTGGGTCTCGGAAAAGACATGAGTTAAAACATGTAAATCACGCAAAATTAGCCTTTTCAAATGGCCTCAAATGAAATGGCTTTGGGGAAGACAGAGAAGAAGACAAAGTTTTAGCTTCAACTCACATGATATCACTGTGTTTTGCTCCTGCGTTTGCTTCAGTGTTGAGGACTCTCAAAATTACCGGATAAAAAGTATTGTTGTTGTTGTTGTTGTTATTATTATTATTATTATTATTATTATTATTATTATTATTATTATTAAGCTATGCATGTAAAATTACTTGGTAACACTGGAACTCTTTACATATTGGTTACCTAAATAAAAAAGATGTCATATGCTGTAATGAGTTGTAATGACAGATTTTGTTCAGTAAAATAACAGTTGTCGTCATTACATTGACTTCTGTCATGACAACTATGTTATGCCAAAGTTGTAGCAGAGCTCAAGTAAACTTTCTTGGAAATAAAGAAATAAACAGTAAACCTAAAGGGAAAATATCCTCACTGAAATCCCCTCAACTCTGTTTAACTGTTGATCGTGTTGTTTTCCACACAGTTATTTCAGTAAGATAACTCTGTTAGCACACACATCTATTTTCAGTGTCAGCAAATGACAAACACCTGGCAAAACTAACTACCACGAATTTAAATTTTACCTCAAATTCAAATCATAACAAACGTGATATGAATTGAAAATTTACTGTCCACGATTTGATAGAATGTCTCCAGTTCTTTCTGTGCACTAATGCTTTTTTATCAGCAACAATAACTGTGACCTCTTATTGGTAACTTTATTGACCCAACGTTTATGAATTGTACTATATGTCAGAATGTTTGCAGACACCTGCTCATCCAACGCTTCTTCTGATGTCAAGGGTATTAATAGTGAGGTTGTCCCCTCTTTGATGCAGTAACAGCCTGTACTATTCTGAACAGGTTTTATATTAGATGTTGGAACATTGCTGTGAGGATTTGATTGCATTTAGGCACAAGAGCATTCATGCAGTCAGGTGCCGATGTTGAATTGTTACTTCTCGATCACAAAGGCCTGTCCAGCTCATCCCAATTGTGTACTTGTTTGGAGTTAGAACCATGATTTTTTTTCTTCTTCTTCATGCTGTGGTCTTAATTGATTTAGCACAGGGCCACAGGAATCAGGTATGAAACTTCTAAAACAGAAGTTACAGAAAAAAACTGCATCAGAGAAGGTTCACATAAGGACCTGTGTGCTGGTCATGTGGAATGGTTTAGGGTTCATTTGACTGCATTGAGCATTGAGTCTGTCTGTTTTACAAGCATAGCTAATGAGTGTGTTAATGTGAGTAAAGGGCCCTCATTTTTCAGAGCACTCTGTTCACGCTTAGACTGTCCCTCAAAGCCCCAGCAATGTTGTTAAATGTCATTCTGTGCTGTCTAACCAATGTAGTGGATCAAATTAGCATGCACACATCATTAATCTGAAATGGGTTATGAATGATAGTCCGTGAAGGAGAGGCCACACATGGCTTTCACCATCACACATACTGAATCTGTGGAGAGACTCCAAGATTCCCCTTTTGACACATCTCACTGACATTTACAGTAGGTCATAGTTAAGAATGACATTATTTTACTTGTGGAGACAAAAATTTACTAAAATGTAAAAGTTAACCTTAGCTGGCAAATACTTATATTGAATAACGTTTATATTGTAGTTACTGTAAGCTAATAGAACATAACTCCTATGGCTAACTCAGAGTCTGATCCTATTTTCTTTTTTTGTTGTTTTTTTATGTCATAAATGACACAGACTGGCTGTAATTGTACGTTTGGTAATGTGTATAAATACATTTTATTCATAATAAGCTTCAAATTAGAGGGTTAGTACTGGACAAATACACTATAGAAACATATAGCTTTTATCAAGCACAATAAAATGACATTTATTACAATTAAGTACAAGCTAGTGATCAGACAGTCAAAGTATAGTTTGAACCAATTTCTGAAGCATAGTGAGAAAAGTAAACTTACCAAACTACCTGTTTTTTTAGGAACATAATAATGTAAATAAAACAGCGATTACAAAGCGTGGCTTCTCTCAAGTGTGGTGTACTTAGTAGACATAAGGTTGTAAGATGTATTCTGCTTGAACAGTATCGTGAATAGTAAAGTGGATAGCTCATTCTGTGCACTGCTGCTATGTGTTTCCAGGGGAACCCACCCCTCCTAAACTGGAAGGCACCCTGCAGCCTAAAGGCAATGCGCTCAGAGTCAACTGGATAAAACAGGATGATGGAGGCTCACCCATCACTCACTACCTAGTGCGATACAAAGCCGTGAGTATTCATGCAGCTCACAAACTGAGCTTGCAGAGAGGCAGAGACACTTCAGAATAAAGAACAATCATTTTTACTTTAGTGGCCAAAAGCACCAGCGTTAGGCCTGTCACAATTATTACATTGTTGCCTGATCACAGTAATTTGAGATATTTGCAAAAATATTTAATCGGACTGCAGTTATTGGCCACAGTCATTCAGTTTCACAGTAGTATTTTATCACAACAAGCACAACGTGAGACAAATTTGTTTTCTTTAGTTGCCTTGAAAAGAAATTTAGCACTGTAAGTTCTAACCTAAAGTTCTAACTTTTAACTGTGTGCTACAACATGTTTAGGGCAAATATTTGTTAATTTGTTAGCTGGAATGCTAATTTTAACCTGTATGCTTGCAGAAAAGTGTTTTCGCGCACATTTTCACAGTCTTGAGAAAATTATATGCTTTGGTTGACTGAGAAACTGTACAAACTGTACTGTTATGCAGAGTACAGTACAGTGTATCTTCTTGTTAACTTCAAAGTAAAGAGCTAGGATGCAAGATGGCTAATAAGCCAGTTTAGCTGCTTTACACCTGTACTTTGGTTGCACAAAATGAACAAAAAATGAATGAAAAGTAATGGAAAATAATGAAAAGTAAACCATAAAATTATTTAACAATTGGAAAAAAATGAATTGCAATTAATTAACAATTAATCGGCAGCTAAAATGTCATGAGTGTGACAAGTCTAACTTGGATGTGCAAGAAATTTGCCTTGGTAAGCTTGTTGCTTACATAAATGGACAATACAGAATGCAAATAGTTATTAAAGCCACAAAGAGTCTTACAAATAAATGGGTCATTGGGGTTGGCAGAGTTTTCAGTCTCTGCTATATACCTAATGAACCATACATTAGGATACGGCAAATCTGCAAATTAACACTTAGTATCTCAGCTAAAAAAGGACACATTCATTATCAGAAACCATTTGCTAAGTTACTTAATTCCTGATTAAAATTGTGTTGTGCCAACATGCTCTAAAGCGGGGTTGGTTGGCACGCATTATGGGAACGTTTGGCACGGGAAGGGGAAAAAAGAAGGAAACGACACAACTAGAACTTTTCATTTGAAACAAAATCAGCAGCCTATAAATAATCGGCATGTCTGACCATTTTTAGCCAATTAATATTTTTGAAATAAATGTAACCTTCATGGCTTGTATAAGAACAAGAATAACAATAAAAACAGCTCACTTTGCCAGTTGTTTATACTTCTTAAACATATTTACATTTTTTTTTAAACATTTTAAAATGAGTGTGTTCAAGTATCCAAAAGTGTGTAATACTAATATATTTAATATATATATATATTTTTAGATTTCTAGATTTAAATAAATTATTTCATTTTGAAAGGATGTTTTTGATACCATGTGAATGCCCTTTGGGCCTGTAATTTTCATAACTGACCCTGTTGCTTGTCCTGCACCCACAGAGAGAGGAATCGGAGTGGAAGCCAGAGATTCGGCTGCCCAGCGGGAGCGAGTACGTGCTCCTGAGTGGTCTGGAATGGGATACAGAGTATGACGTGTTTGTGGTGGCTGAAAACCAGCAGGGCAAGTCGCAGCCCGGCACCCTGACCTTCCGCACCTCCTCAGAGCCCGATGCCACTCCAGGTAAGCTCCTCTTTACACCTCCCTCCATCCCTCACTTTACTTTCTCACATACTGACGCACAACACTAATGGCTGAGTCAGAGCTGTAATAGCACCAAGTAACCAAATGCAGCGAGAAATCGCCTTTTTTTTTCTTTTTTTGCTCACTTTGGCCACTTACACAATATGATGCACTGTTAGTCATGGTCTGACTGATCATCTGTTCCTGGGTGAGTTTGGTGCTGGAACATTACTTATATTTCTATAAAGCAGTGCTCCGTGACTTCGAGTGTTCACAAGTAAAGAAAAAAGGCTCTCTTCATCTCTTCAAATTTTTTGTTAGGGATGTCCACTTTCCACTTTAAAATAGTTTCACATTGCAGACATTCAGACTTCTTGTTAAAAACCTCTCAAACCATGCTTTATTGCTGCAAGTTGTAGATGTCTGTTTGTCTTCTCTACGATAGTATAAATAGAGGGCTATGGGTATGATTAACTACAGACCCCATGATACATTTTTATAACGATACTTGAGCCACAATACGATTCTTTTGCAAATATATTAAAGATTTGTGATTTGCTACTGATATATAGCATAAACTGTTATAGCTTGACTGCTAATTATGCTTCCAATAGTACACTTTCTCTGTTTTGAGCTGATGAAGGGCCCTATTTGTTTGTCTCATTCAGTGTGACATGTACAATGGAGGGGCCCAAACCTTTTAGCTCTCAGTAGAGCAGGTTTGACAATCCGTTATCAACTGTACAATGCTGTAGCCTTAATAGTTAAAAGCGAGCAGTGGCTCACTTAATAGGGCACTGTTGCACACCGAACCTCTAGGAATGTCACCCACATGTACTACATTCTCCTTAACCGATAAACCAACTTTTCCACCTCACCCAAGCATAAAAACTTTTTTTTGCGATATGTAGGCATTTTTTTTTAAATTTCCATCTAGATTTTTTATGTACCTTTTTGGAGAGAAGAGGTGGATGGAAAGCCCTTTACTGGTAGATGGTGGTAACATTCGGTGTCCTGCCCAAGACCAGTTATTAGTATATTATAGTGGTGTTCTTTATTCCTGTATATACAAAAAAATCTGACTTTACTCTCCAAAGAACAAGCTATCGGTGTTATCCACTGTGCTGACATTGACACCATTGGCACTAGCTTTGGTCTCACCAGAAAGAAAAACAAGGCTTTTTAAATAATTAGTTTATTAAATTATAAAATATAAATACTTGGGCGTCCATGTATTAGTACTGTTTTTCACCTAAAACATTGTGTACTACTCTTCTTCTAGCACTTCTTCTCCCACGCCTATTGACAAAGTGGAGCAAAATAGCCTTAACAAGGGATGTGAATGGGATCAGGCTTAATATAGCTGACACTAATCCTTTACAATATGCCTTGAACGGCTTTAATACTGATCTTTCATATTGCACTGAGACATCCCTAATGACTTTCTCTCCATCAGGAGAGTTCTGCAAATCCGAGAGGGGCGTCAAGCCATTGTAGAAATCTAACAGTAGTGTCCTTACACCGCTGACCTTACTCATTTACGCCCAACAGTTCTCTCAGAGTTGCTCTCTTTGGGGTGCTGTTTGGCCTATCGTTCTTCACTTTTCTGGCAGGCTGCCTCAAGTAGCAGCACTAAAGCAATAGAACAGTCAATCTCAACTGTGCTGTCAGACCAGGCCACTTTGAGCTACTATGCATCGGTGCCAAGCTTATGCGCCTTAACTGCCCAGCAGAGGCAGGTTCAGCTCTGTCAGGCGTAGTAAGGCCACATCTGGACTTTCCTGCTTCACTTCGACGTAATGGGCATCTGGTGCAACACAGCCCCGAGAGCCTCTCATTAACACTTTGAGACAGCAGCATAGATGTAGGAGGTTTGGATCTGCGCTCTCACTGGCACAGCAGGCTGGGAGTGGATGGTGTCCAAAGCCTGTTTGTTTCGCTCTTACACCCCTCACACTCCTCTCCTGCTGCTTCTCGAGCAGCATGCCAATAAGACTCTCACGGCCAGCTATCTATAGGCGCCTACACAGGGGCATCCATAGAAATGAGTTTTTTTTCTTTCAGCTAAAACAGTTGTCCTTTTTTTCTTGGTAGCGTGTTTAAGTTTTATGTCATTAAGAGAAGTCTGAAGGTTTAAAGTGTTTGTCAAATGTACTAAGACATTTTCCCTCATTTAACATCATGTCATGCTATCATTGCTACTGTTTTACTTCACTGTTGTATATATTCTGAGAGTGATTTACAAGCAAATCATCAGCCATTTTACATTTCTCCATCAGTCTTCCCAGGACTGATTTATGCTGCTAGGACTGATCTATGCTGGCACTAGCATTTTAGATTTTGGATTAATCTTTGGAATCATAATTCATACAGTCATGGAGACAAAATCATTAACCTCTTTTTAGTTATACATAAATTTAGGGCTGCAACTAATGATTGCTTTGATATTTGGATATTGTATTGACTGTTTTTTCAATCAATCAACTAGTCAAACAATTACATTCCCGCTTTGGTAAAAATACATTCAAATAATGGCACAAAGAAATTTGAATTTGAAAAATCTCCATCCGAAATATGTAATTGCTTCTAGCACGTTTAATCATCAGTCTGTTTCCCTTTTTTGTCACTATTTGCATGATTCTGAGTGCAGCATGTCTGCCTAGACAGCTTGTCATATCTTTGATTAAAGGTTTCTGTATTAAACAGTACTGTGTTTAACTGCGTTTTGTGATTTTTACAGATTTTTTTTAATATAGATTTAAGTATTAGTACACGCTTTATTGTCTCAAAGTGTCCTAAAACAGATTTAACATCGTTCTCTTTCTAACCTGTTCGGAAAGACGGGACTGCATTATTGTGGAGCTTTACCATTTCATTATTAAACTGCTCGCTCAGTATGACAATAAGTCTACTGTGTACTTATCACTGAAATGTTCGCCTTTTCCATGAGACGTTCCAACAGGTCCATCACGTTTACTGGGCTGACATTAACCGCTTAGGCTAGTTAGATAACAAGCACTAACCCTCTATCAGTGGGAGCAGAGAAACTTGGGTGCTTTAGTTTCATTTAATTTCATTTGTGCATCAACGTGCTGTTGTGAAACTCCTACCTCTGTATATTGCGCATTGCATGCAGTGTATTTTGTGAGGCTGGCCTTTTTGAGTTGATCTCCCTTCACCACCGCCATCGTTCAAAGTTCTGCACCTCAAACAATTTCTTCTTATGATGCAACAAAACGACAGAAGCCAGTATATACTGCAATCTTTTGGAATCAACAGACATAAACATTATAGGGCGCTAAAGTAAACGACAGGGCAGCACTGGTTCAGCTTATTTAACTTAATGTCATTATTACATCAATTACATCGAGTAAATATATATTAAAAATATAACTTGTTCAGAACCCCAGTTCTACATGACCAGCTTTTTTGGCAATACATTTTCTTTAAAAAAAAAACTGAACTTCTGAATTCATTGCTGATGTAAACATGCAGTTTTTTTTGCAGCGTCCTTTTGATTGATTTTAGTATCCTGCCTGGAAAAACAGTGGCCATAGCCTGAGGTCTTTTAATGTCTAATTAGAATCTTTTTGTACACAAACACAGGCACTGAGGATTAGGGTTATAATTAGATGTGATAATAAGATTGTCCGCTAAGGGACAGAGCAATTGTTTATTCTGAATTGTTGCCTTGTGTTATCAGACAAGCACAGTGCCAGAATTCACGAAAGCTAACTAACTAAACATAAATCATATGCACTGCCGCCTTACCATTTAAAAAAAAATAAATCAAAGCATGGTTTATGCATCCATAATCTGAAATCTGCTTCATTTCAGTTCTGCTTTATCTCGAGCACTCTCACAAGTCTGTCACAAGCTTATTTCAGAGTCATTCCGCTTAGGCCCAGGTGCCGCAGTCATCAGTCATGTGGAATTGTCCCGGACTGTGTTTTCCTCTCTGTAGCACCGTTCCTCACTCCAAGTCCTAGAGGACAACAGCACTGCTGAGGAGTGTTTGTTCTGGTCCCATCTCGATTCAGTTCTGATTTAGCTCGTGAAGGGCTTGCTAATTAGCCAACAAGTTGAATCAGGTGTGTTAAAGTGAGAGAAACACAGAGCTTAGAGTGATGAATGATGCTCTAAAGTAGTGGTTCTCATCCATTTTGAGCTGTGACCTCCTTTTTGCACTGAAACACACTAGAGCAGCATTGGACTTCAGAGTGCTAGGAGATTCTTCTACAATGACCTCATGCTATGCTTCTGGCTATGGTTATGCAGCTCGTAACCATTAGTGTTAAAACGTTTTATGAGGCTGCTTTTCGAGACTCTTCAAATGTCAGGTTTCTGTCACCACCACTGTGAACAATTCTGCGTCAGTACTTTTCTCTTGAACAGAGCATTTCACATCAAGCCACTCTGAATGATTTTGTTCACGTCTTTACCACCTAATGATGCAAAAAAGTCGGAAATCGTTGGATTCCCCTTTAACCTTGCATGCTGTAGTTTTACAGTGACTCCGTAAAAAGCCCTGGCATAGAGTTGCTGCTGTTTACCATTTCTAACATCTGACTGAAACTTGGTTAGGCTACTCCTTGTATTCACACTCAGTGATGTATCTAGCACTTGAAAAGCCTAAAGTGACTATTTTTTCCTCACAAAATTCTCTCACTGTGTATCAAAATTTGATTGGTTGATTCCACTGGCACTACTTGTTATGTTGGTAGTTAATCTAACATGTAAGGCCTTCAGCCCAGCTCCTGATGCCCTAACCAATAGGAACTCTAGCTTGACTGTATCTACTAAGATAGCACTTGGGGAAAAAACTTACTGTACAGCTTTCTTTATGCATTATGCAATACGTTAGTGTAGTTCATTAATAATCACAATGTATATACATACAAAGTGTTGCAATAATCAAGCAACCTCCCCAAGTTGAGAACCACTGCAGTAGAAGAATGGGTGGCTCTTACTGTTCTTTTGTAGCCACTCTATCCACTGCTTGATTTATTAACTACCCTCACAGGCTTTGCCTTTCGCTGCTATCTCTTTCATTCCGCATTCTTCCTTAACCTAACTTTACCTAATTTAATTTCCAAAATTTGTTTCTGTGTTTTGACGTGTTTCTCTCTTGTTTCTCTTTCTCTCTCTCTTTTTTCCAATGTCCCTCTTTTCCCCCTTCTTCCTCTCTCTGTTTGTCCTGTGTCATTGTGGCTGGTCTTGGATGCGGATGGATCATCACATTCCCACACGCGCAATATATTTTTCTACGATACCCTTGCTCACTTTGCTTTTTCCTGCTCCCATGCGATCCCAATATTTATGTGTTTCTGTATATCTGACACACTGTGTTTGTGTGTTTGTGCATGTGTTCTCCAGTCACACTTGGCAGCTCCTCAGTGACGTGCACCTTGCTATCAGTGGTGCTGTCTCTGCTCCTGGCGCTGTTGCTTTGATAGCACAGAGCGAGAGCGGTGTTCTCATGTTGAGAGCATGCTGGCATTTCCTTATCCATTTGCTGATAAAACTGAGCCTGATGGCATGCATTAACACAATTAACATTAGGGACAGCTATATTTCAAATGACCATATATACAGTACCAGTCAAAAGATTTGACGCATTTGATTGAATGTATGATTCTGATTTTTGATGTAGTCATGTAGTCGTAGCCAGTCCCGCCCACTAATTAGGTTTCTTTTTTTTGTTTTTTGGAAGGCTAGCATGCGAGTCGTCCCAGAACGCATACTTTGTTGCATCTTTTTCTAACTGTCATTTGACCAGGGATACCAAAACTTTTGCATAAAATTGTATGCCCTTTGATGGACTCGGATGGCCACAGAAGGCTGTGGCATCACTGGGGATCCAATTCGCTGCATAATTGGGCCAGTGTTTAGGTGGCTGTACCACTCAGGAGCTGTTAAGACATTTTGGTCTTTTGTTTTGTTACTTGATATTTGTACGGTCCCTAAAAAGTCTTAATTTGACTGAAATTACATTTTGCAAATTAAAGGCCTTAAAAAGTAATATGATGTTACAAAAACAACATTACATATATCATCCTGCTGTAGTTTAGCCTCGCCCATTCATGCTGAAGTCCTGCTTTTTGAATGAGGGCAGAGCTAATTTACATATATCAGTGTTAAAGGCGCAGTAACAAAACAGCCATTTAAGTCTAAGGGATAAAGAGAGGTTGGAAGACTAGTGTAAAAATAATTACAACTGCTTTTGAAGCATAAACTCAGAAAAATGTTATAAAAGAAAACTGATTGAATTGATTGAACTGATTCAAATTGATCAGTTTAACTTAAAGATGCCTGCAGACCCCTTATAGCATACAGATGTAAATATTAAAGCTGATGCTTATAAACAGTGTGTAAGTGTATGCAAAAGTTTGAACACCCTGGTCAAATTACCTTTTTTTTGTTGATTTTCTAAGTGAAAACAAAAACATACATACGAACAAACTTATATATGGCCTTTTTTCCTGTAAATTTAGTGCACATTGTATTTGCTGAATATAACATAATGGAAAAAGTAAAACATAGGGCACAGTTTTTTCAAAATGTTAAATTCAGCAAATAAACAGTAACTGTGCATTAAAATAAAAATGTGTTAACTTATTTGGACTTAAAAAATCAACATATGTTTGTATATGACTGTATATTTCCTAAAGAATTTGGTCTTTTATTATGTTTTTAATGCCCCTCAAGTAGTTTTCAGTAAACAAGGTCTGGGAAACTTCCCAGTCGGTTCCTCATGAAGCTGCTTGAGAGAATACAAACAGTGTGTGAAGCTGCATCAGGACAAATGGGCCTACTCTGAATAATATGAAATATTTGAGTTAAGAGAATAATAAAATAAGGAAAACTTTTCCTCAAAGTGTCCATACGTTTGACTGGTACTGTGTATTATGCAATGCAACTTTTCTATTCAGCATAGTGAAAAATATACTGTATTGTATGGGAAAGACTGAGTGGCAGGCACTAAACTAAGTTTACAGGGGATATTGCGTATGATTCTGCTTATCTGTATATATTTTTAACAGTCTAATTTCACTGAAAGCTGTATAAAATTGTACATTGTATGATCTTTAAGGAAAGACTTTGTAACATCATCAAAATATTATTTTATTATATCTGCAACCTGGAGACTGTTGTTCTGTAAACTTGCTACAGTTGTTGCAAAAAGTGGCATGTATTATGATCACAACCAGAGCTATTGTTTGCTTATTTGGATTTATTAAATTCTTTTTTTATGTAAAATGTTGTCTGTTACAGTGTTCTTTGTAGTGTTTATAACAGTGTTTTAAGATAATCTCAGAAGAACAATGTGTTTAATGTAGCACGGCACACTTTTTGTGGCTTTTATTTTTATTTCAACCTGTAAATTCATTTGTTATGACAGTTGAAGTCATCATCAGATTAGTTGTTGCTGATTTTTGCTGGTGAGTACACTATTTTGTGCTACTGGAAAAAGACAAAAAAAAAGCTTAACTTTGAGTTAACGTCATGCTCAATAACAACTAAGTGTAACTGGAACCTAATGAGGATTTGTATTTTTCTAATTAGTATCTGTCTAATTAGTGCTGTCTGATATGTCTGGTGCTGCTTTTCCACTAGCAGGCAGAGCTAGGTGCAATTAGGTTAGGCCTGCTGCCTTTTTTCCGGAGGTTCTTGGATGCATCTGTGAAATTTCCTGGCCCATGTTGGTCCTTATTCAATTCAGCAGTGCAGAACCTAATCAGGGATTCATAAACTCATTAAACAGACATTTGCATCATAATATTAAAGAGAATTCAAGTGTCTTATGAAATGCTAATGAATTAGCCAGAAAAGCTATACTCATTTGCCATGATGAGCAGTTGGGTTTCTGAGACCAGAGCCTAAGCCTGGACTTAATGAGATTTTTAATAGTGAAACTGTTGACATTGGTTGGTGTTGACATTGGCAGTATGCCTGGGCAACATCTAAAAATAATTAGCAAGATACTTTCTTGTTAAAAAATTCAGTATTATTGAAAAAATACTGTGTCCAGCTTAGGCCTACCTACTGTTTTATTTAAGATCTGTAATGAAAATCTCTAATTAAAAACTGAAAGTTGGGATTGCAGAAATGTACATTTGTGGTCGTTTCTTCTCTTCAAATGACACACAGAAAGGTGACTTATATGCCACCTGCTGGAGAATCTCCAGACTGCTAAACATGCACTACTTGAGTAAATGAGTGAGTTCTAAAGCCTCATCCATGTATAGCAGAGGCTCTGTGAAATTCAGCTGTAGATGCCTGTGGGAAACCATAAAGTATTATTTAAGTATCTCCTGCTCCAGAGAAATCTGCAGCAAGGACGGTGGAAATTTGACTCTACTGCGACCCAACGTCTTATTAATGACCCATAATAATTCATTATTTTAACAGTAAAACACAATACATTATATATACATAAAACATGTTCGTATTATTAAAGATTTCTTAGCAAGCTGTTCAAATTGAAATGAGTTAACTCTAGTTCTCTACCTATTCTCATTCCCAAAATGATTATTATTTTTGAAGCACTGTCATCTGCTTTTTTTTGTCAGTCCTCACAAATATCAGATTACATTGGCCTATCATGCCTACATTGCAGTTCAGTCTAAGACTAGGCTCAGTCATTGTCCACAGTTTTAGCCCATTGTGATTTAGGGTCAATAGGAAATACTTCTGCGGATGTAAAAATAGACGTGACAAATGGTGACATTTGCATTCATGTGTTTTACATTGACACACAGGAAGAAAAGTGGAAGAAAACAGAGACCTACATATCTATACGCAGAACATTTCATTGCCTTTTGAGGAGCCGTACGTCCATACTGACAAGGTTGTTTGATTATTTAATCTGCTTCTTATGTATCGTTATGAACCTCCACGAAAACAATTATTATTAATGCAACTTTTTGAACTGAGAAAAAAAAACTTAATTCAGTGTTTCTGTTGCTGATGGCTTCAGACTGACGTCTACCTTCAAATATGTACTTGTAATGGGAAAAAAAGCTGGAACTAGGCCATTAGCTTGCTTGATTCCATCTCTTGAACCTTCTTCTCGTTCCATATGGTACTGGAAAAGCAGCATCAGTGTACAGTCTCAAGTTTTGCTCAACTCACCCCAGTGTTTGATCTACTCATCCAGTGTTCATCTGTGGTTTGTCTAATCCTTGTAGTCACATGAGTAGAAATAACTCATGCTTACCTGACTGTAGTATTTGCATTAAGCATGCATGTCTTGCGTGTTTGCATTTGGGTGAGTAATTCTCTCCCTTTCTCTCTCTCTTTTCAAGACTCCATGGAGGACGGGGCAGGACTGAACACAGGGGTCATTGTTGGGATCCTCATCTTGGTGTGTGTGCTGCTGCTTCTGGCTGTGGATGCCACCTGCTGCTTTCTCAACAAGTGTGGCCTCCTCATGTGTCTCTGTGGCAAGCCTGGGACGGGCTCAAAGGGCAAGGACATTGAGGCTGGCAAAGCCGCATTTGTGTAAGAAACTGTAGTTAAATGTTCAGATAAACAGCACTTGAAGCTTCCATCTTTGAGAGAGGAGAGAACATCAAGCTCCACTCTTGCTTTAGATCTGAAAAAATCCACAGGTGTTTCTATCCTTCCACCGTTGTGGGTATGAAAGGATATGTAGCCATCAAGATGATTTTACTGAGAAAAAGAAAATAGACAACAAAAGAACTTTGGAGGTGTGCAAAAATATTCCTGCAGATTTCTTTGAAAAGCTGAAAGCAAATCACCTGAAAAGAATGGAAGCTGTAGTGAAGGCAACAGCTAGAAAAATTGTATTTTATTTAGTTGTTGAGGCTTTAATGTGATGTCCTGTTAAATATGCTTTCTGCTTTTGCTGTGAAACTTTAAAAAAAATGAAGAACTTGACTGGGAATTGAAGCAATAGTGAACACTGAATTTTGTACAGTACTGTACACACCACTCTTGTTAGCTACTTTAACCCCAAATTTGGACACCAACTATATCCTGGTTGTTTGACTAAATTTAAGGGAAGGGGTAAATTGTAACACTACGCTTGCACTTGGTAATGCAGCTAAAGAATGTGCATGTACTCAAATGGTTGGTTGGAGTGGTTTCACCCTCAGCTGCAGATGTTCTAGTACAAAGACATGATTAGATTAGCCTTTTACATCTCAAGTCTTGCTGGGCACAGGAGACATACATAAACCAAAGCACTAATGAGCTCATAAAAAAGCAACTCAGTGCTCTATGATGACTTCATGTGTCTCTCTCCATACAGTAAGGACGAGTCCAAAGAGCCTATTGTGGAAGTGAGGACTGAGGACGGGCTCACGGCCAATCACGATGCAGGAGGGCACTCCGAGCCCAATGAGACCACGCCCCTGACAGAACCAGAGTAAGTGTGGTGTAATGTGGTGTGATGCACTCTCTATAGTACTGTGCTTTGTGAGCTTCGGGAGGCAGAAGTGTCATCATACACATACCACCGAGTCACCGTTACCCACACATGCACACTGCATCGAACAACACGTCCTGTATGTTAGCGGTAAACTATACTGTGTGTTGCATTATCTGATACAAAATGCCATTGTTTGTTTAGCTGTATATATTTTCAGTTTTGTTTTCTGTTCTTCTTGTGTTTCTCTTTAGTTCTTCCCTAATCTTTTTTCCCTTTCTCTCTTTCAGTCTCTTTGAGACTGCACTTCTGTTTCTTCCTTTAAAAACTCCTCTGGAGATATCTCTGTCCTTCCTCTTCTTTATGGTACCATATAGCACTATATCAGAATCAGAATTTCGGTTACACCTCAGAACCCACAGTAGCAATAGAAATAGCTGAATTCCACCAGGCATACACACAGTCACACCAGCCCCAGTGCACTGGATGGGCATTAGAGGGCCAGGCCCACCATGGAGAACCACCGTGCCCTCTCTGCCTGTGTCCTCCGCCAAGCAGCTCCCAAGCAATATTTAGTTTAGCATCCTAAATACTTAAATACTATCAGTGTATTGTTTGGTCAGTGTCAGGAAAAATAGCAGAAAACATGTATTTAACAGATAATTAGACAAAAGCCTCAACAACCAAATATATCAAATTTTTCAGTATTCAAGTGTGTTTACCCTTTACCTTTATTACAGCTTCCATTCTTTTCTGGAGACTTGCTTTCAGCTTTTTCAAAGAAATCTGCAGAGATGGTGTTTCACATCTCCAAAGCATTTTTTGCTTCTCACAATTCAAATAATCCCAAACACATTCAGTGATATTGAGGTTAGGAAATTTTCTGGACTGCAGATCCAATCAGTGTTCAAATGTCTCTGTCCCCTGCGCTGAGAAATTTGAGGAAGTTTCCTGTCATTCATGATGACGGGAGAGAGAAAAAATTAATTGGAGCTTTGTGTTAAAAATTAAAAAATATGAGTGTGGCCGCTCAATCAAAAAGTGCATGAGCAAGACATAACTAATTTTTCACGTTTAGTTTTTTCTATAAATCCTTTTTTCTGCATTATTTCTTCTTTATCTGTTAAGGCTATAAACCAAGATAAATGTAGCACGCTGCTGTGTTCTGTGAAAATATCACATGTATATCCTTATATATTTCTGTGTATACACATAAATGCAGTAAGTCAAGTGGTCTTGTCGTTGTCAATATAACTAAATATATGATGTAATCTAAAGTGCAGATACACGACGCTGTCAACTGTGTGCAGAATAGCACAATAAATGCACAAAACAGTAAATGGTTATGACAGAAAGGGTCTCGATTAGTCAGTAACTAATAGAAAAACAACTATAAAATAGATGGCATAGTAATATAATGAAAAATATATCACTCTATTAATAAAATGTGTTACTCTTTCCTTCTTTTTTCTTTCTTTCTTTCTTTTTTGTTTGTTTTGCTTTAATTTATTTCATTTCATTTTGTTCTGTGTTTTTAGAGCAATAGCTCCACCTTGTGGTTGTAGGTGGCTCATCAATCTGGCACCATTATCAATACTGTATTTATAATAACATCAGTATTGCGTATGCCTGCAGGTGATTGGTGTCTCTCCCTCATTCTCTCCCTCTCTGTGGCTCGATCACCCTCGTGTGTCTCTGCTCTCTCTCCCTGCTTCTCACAGGCGACTGGCCGAAGCTGCGGCCACTGTGGTGGACTTGCCTCTGTCCGTGGCCACTAACTCAGACACGGCCACTGACACCTTTGACCTTAGCCAGAGCAGCCCTGTTAGCGAGAGCACCACTCTAACGTCCAGTATTACAGCTCCTCTCCCCGACCCCAAACCTGCCACTGCCACAGGCCCCGAGACCAGCACCCCTAAGAGCTCCTCCCAGCCACTAGCCAACTCCCTGCTGTCCTCTGATGCTCAATTGGTGGACCTAGCTGAGCCTGTCCAAACCGAAGCCCCTCCCACTGTTCGTCAAGACGCTCATATTACTTCTCCGGCGTTCGCTACCCAGGAGCCTCCTGCTCTTAGCACAGAGAAGTCATCCAAAGAACCAGAGAAAGAGCCACAGCTGAACAGCTTCTTACAGAATTTACACGAGCCCGTCCCGCTGTTTGCTAGCCCCCAAATTGTCCCCTCAGTGAACCATGAGCTCCAGCTAGATGGAGGCACCCCCCAGGCTTCAGAAACACATCTCCCCCAGGATGGCTCACACGCTCTGGGCACAGCTGGCTCCAGCGGCCCATCTGCTCCAAAGAACGAGTATGGACCTCTCTAGATGTTCAGTAGATGTCCTCTTAGTATGTCTGCATGTGCATGTACGTGTGTTACACCCATACATCGTTTTTCTACACTTGTCCATTGGTGCCGTGTGCATCTCTGCATGCCCTGCCGTTCCCCACCCATTATCCTGTGCTTATTTCTAACGAAGATTTCTCCATAACAGGAAAATCTCAGAGGAGGAGAAGAGCAGGTCTGAAGAAGAAGAAGAGCTGAAGAAGCTCCAGCCCGAAGCAATGGCACCGAACGCTATCTCGCAAACAAACGATCTGGAGAGCATGGCATGATCCGGCAGGCCTGCAGGAAGAAGAGGCAGCGTCGCGATGAACATGAAAAGTGTTCATTCTACAGTGCCCTTAATGAAGCTTTTTTTTGTCTTTCGAACAAATTGTGTCAGAAGCTTAAGACTGGAGTCAGGTGTACATAATGTATGTATGCCTTTTTCCATTTCTCGTTCATTTCCGTTAACGAAACCTCAAGAAATTGCTGTTGCTCTTTTATGAGTTCATCGCGACAGTTTGTATTACGTTCAAGCTCCCCAATATTTCTCAAGAGGGTGTTTTTAAAGAAAACAAAAAAAAAAACTGGGCATTCAGGAGAATTTACAGCACATATTCAGTGACACTCAAGACATTATTTTATTTTTATTTACTTATTACATTGTTGAAATGTAAATGGTTGCTCCTATTTTTTTATCTTAAGTCTTTGGAGGGCTAGTCTTGTTAAATAGTTTGATTGTATATTTTATTTACATTCCGTTTTCTTTCTTACGCGTTTGACGCACTCTCTGTGTTGTATCTTTATCATATTTAAGCTGACAGAAGTCGAAAGGAATGATCTTATGAACGCCTATCGTATGGAGACGACCAGATGACGCAAGCTGATATTCTTCAACGTTTATTTAAATTGTTAATTATTTTTTTATTATTGTAATCGTTCACAATGCTTTTCCAAGAGCTGGGGTTTTAACAACTATTAGCGCTGTTCTTCTGTTCCTCAAACCCTGCTTGTAAAGCGCTGAATCAGACCATTTTTATACTGTGTACCTCTGGGAGGGGAGGGGACAATACAAAGTTTGTATTACACTGTTGATCGCAAGCTTGTGCACTGTGATTGTGTATTTTATGAGTTTTGAAAATATCTGCATAGCTTGGTGGTGATGGGTAGTTGATTTTCCTTTTACATAACATGATGTAAATTGATAGCTAACATTGGCCTGTCTAGAACAGGATCGGCAAAGACACTTCTATTACTCTATAAAGTGTTCTTACTTCACCTTTCATTGCATGACCGTCTGCTTGCCCGCCGCTGACGTTCAAGGAAGAGTGTAGGTGACAGTTGGCAGGTCCGAATTGTACGTGCATGCCCAGAGCTCTGTGTAAGCCTGTATGTGGGCTTGTGACCAGATCATTGAATTGATTGTTTTTTTGGTGTTCAGAGTGATAAACTTTTTGTCCAGCAGCAAGACATTCAGACTCTGGGTTACAAAGAGGAATGTTCCCAAATTATGCTTGTACAACCACTATATTCTCAGTCAGTCTAACTCAGCAGTTGTACCTTGTATCTCTGGGACGGATTCATGTGGTGAAAAATGAAGGTGAAGGACAGCTGTGCTTTAATTTGTTAAGCGTCAAAAGAACATGTCATAAGTTGTGTTGTTCTAACACATTTTGATTAAACTAATTGAAACAAAAAGGCCTTTGGCTTTTTATGATTACTCACATTTTCTTTTTTCAGATCGTTCTGGTACGGCACACACTGCGGGACTGCATTTTGTGCGGGATGTACATAAAGCCTACACTCTTAGCAAAATGGGTTCCCTCAAAACTGTAGTGGAACCCTTTTTGGTGTTATATGAAACCATTTTTAAAAGCATTCTTTAAAGAATAACTGGTTTTCCATCATAGAGAAGAACCATTTGACTATACAAAGAACCATTTATGCATGCAGATGGTTCTTGGAGTGTTCACGGTTCTATATAGAAACATTACATTTACTAAAGAACCAATGACTTTTTAAGAGTGTAGTCTTGGGCTGGATAACACTGTTGGTGAGAATTTTCAACCGTCCACATCTAGACTAAAGGTGAAGTGGGGGCAGTCGTTGAAGATACATAAACCACTGTCAGTAAACTGAGTGGAGGTCTTGTTATTTTCTAATGATCTCAGTTTTTGTTCACATGACATTTGAACTTTTTATGGATGTTAAGAAGTAAAGTCTTACATAAATTCCTCCTATACATTCAATAAAAGCTCGTCCTGATAGCTGTTCAACCAGTGGCCAGCAGATGGCACCATTTTCCCTTGTAAAGCCAAAATATCTCTTCCAGTGGAAGTGTACTACCTTTGACCAACTACACATTATTTTTAAAAGCAGACTCTATAATTAGAGACACTACTAATGTTCCACAGTGTTCTAGGAACATGGCAATCCACAGTAACTCCTTTATAGTCACTAAATGTTCTACTAAATTCTGAATTAAGCATGCCAGACTGTCATAGCGTGTCACAGCAAGCTAATGCAGTATTAAAGTCAACCTGAACTGAAAATTGACCTTTTTTTTTCCCACCTTTGCTAGTTTGTGTGCCTGGACATATTAAGCATAATTCACCATAGCATACAATTTAAAAGACTAAATTATTGTTTATAGTCTTTCATCACAATGTAAGAAAGAAACATCTTTTGCGTGTTGGTGATGTCACTGTGCACCAGCAAGCGGGGAATTTTACCCAGTAATAACATGTTTCACCTCCCCACCTGTCATCGAGCAATACTTTCAGTTAACTCTTTAATAAAACGTTACCCTTGGAAATACTTGATATGGAAGGGAGATGCATAAGATTTTCAATTATGTTGACCTTAATATCACTGTTTGAACCTGTTATTTCCCTATTTTCTTATGTTTCTTAAGCACTTGGCTAAGAAGGAAAGACATTCTTCACTGAAAACAGTGATTCACAGAATTTACTTGATTCAAAACCTGAATCAAGTAACACAATTTTGTCTTTCAGTTTACTTTTGGCAGTCATGCTGTAGATATAGACTGTCTGTTATTCATATGAAAATGGTGCACACATTTGAATCAGGTGAATTCAGTGTATCATCTTGAAAAATCCACAGGCCGAGATCACAGAGTGACTCTCGAGATATCGGAGGATTCTAACCTATTTCTCAGGAGCTGTGCAGTGTGACTGTTGCCTGAAATCGGTCATCTCTGAGGCGTGGGATTGCCTTTTCCAAGAAGAACAATAGACAGAGAACAGGACAGCTGTGTGCATTTCTTCTGCATCACAGAGCTCGGCCTGAGTGGGTTACTGAGGCTACTACCGTCCACTGATTCGAACGCGCACACACATAGGCAAAAAAAAAGCACAAACCCTCCACTGTGACCGCTCGACCTGTGGAACCACCTTCGTGTCTTCAGACTTCTCCGCTGTGCTCAGGCCACTATACCATGCAGGATATTTTTGAAGCTGTGAAAGTTGCAAGACCCTCTATCTCAGTCTCATTGCCTATGCAGAGATGCAGCTGTTGATGGAAAAGGCTTTTGGGCCTTGGAGCTCCTTCATGCATCAGAGACCACATCCACCAGCTCGTAAAAGCAGTCCAGCTTTAGAGATGCTTTACATGAATTAAATGTGTGAGAGTCTTCCTCAGTTTTTAAAACAAAGTCGTCTCAAAATGTCACAAAATAGAGGCCTCCGGAATTAATATTGATCCAGGATTAATTCTAGCCATTCACTAGGTAGTGCACAGGGTTCATTTTTTCCTGAGTGTTTTTACTGATTGCTCAGACAGGGGTCATTCTCATGAAACATGAAACATTCTCATGAAAAAACAATAAAAAACAATACTGATATCATTTAGTAGATCATTTGGAACTCTACAGCTAAAAAAGAGAAGTTGTTCAATTTTCCGTTTAAAAGTTTGGGGGGGGGTTTTGCCATTTTTTTTATCCTATTGCTCATTAATGCAATGTGTTTATGTATCTGTTCCTCATTACTTGTACTTAATTTGTTTGGTTGCTTTTAGCTGCTTAGTTCCGTTAGCATGTTTTTTTTTCTTGTAAGCTCTAAGCAAAAGGAAATCCAATTTTCTACCAAAAAAGTAAAAATGTCAGTGAGTTGGTATTTTATACATGCATACATACACACACAACATATACATCGCTGTTATTGGAAGAAAACTTGTATCTCCAAAATGATAACTTTACAGGAGAAGGAAAAAAACTACTTTACATTTAATGTAAGTCAGTGAACCAGACTTTTTTCCAAGTCATTTTGGTCCACTTCTTCTGGTCCATTCTTCATGAAATTTACACACAATGTGAAGGGCAACAGGCATTTTCAAATTACAGAAAAAAAACTGAAAAACGACAAAACAAAAAATTGGGAAATATAGAAATATAGAATTTTGTTACTTACGTTGGAAACTGGCGCTAAAAAATCATTCAGATTTACTTAGAATATTTCAACCAGACATCATTTGCCAAGGAAAACATTAACTTATAGTCATTTCAGTTTTTTCCAGGTTGGGTCTAAGGATTAGTCTTGTTTCATAAGAATAACCTGGTAGATTTGGTAAAGTAAACGTGTAAAAGGCTGTGTTCATATCTCACTTTAAAGTTTTGACCTCCCTCACAACTTTCCAGCAAACCAGTCATCCACACACTCATCCGTAATGCTGAAAGACAGACTGTTGTTCTGCACCTCTAATGCTAAAGCCTGAGGTACTCTGTGTTGGGATCCACAGCTGCTCTCAGTGGGGAGGTTCAATGTTCCAAACTTCTGTACAAGCTGAACGTTTTGTTTGTACCTAATGCTCCATAATAATTTTTCCACAAATTTACAGACAGACTAAGTTTAGATTGCTTTAACGGTTTGTCCCTGAATTTGCAGACAGTTGGTAACTGAGTCGGTGCCCTTGAAACCACAGTCTGACCATATCCCTCCCAGAGTGACCACCGTCCACTGACAACCAAGAATGAAGAAAAACAACCTGTTTGTGGATGAGAACTCAGTGTAGTGTGGTAGTAGTTCAGAGGTAGAGACAGAACGATACTGCTATTCTTTTCCAATACTGATATTAAAACCTTGATTATTGATACAGATCTAATATGTTTAACTTGAGATGATCATCTAACAGGAGGCTATAACGCTCAAACTACTCACCTTACGTACCTATTGATACTAATATGTCATCTCCACGTACAGGCTTGAGCATGTGCAGAACAACCCAGCTTTGTGTATTGGCTGCTTTGGTGAGAGATGAGAAATTAATTTCTTTTAAATGTATGTACAATTCAGTCACTGAGATGTAAATAAAGTAATTTGATGTGAAGTGGTTCCTTTTAGAGAAACTTGCCAACTCCTTTACAGTGGAGGTGACGGGAACCAGAGGTCACCATGTCTGCAGCTCAGATGTAGATCTGAGATATTTTGTTAACTATGCAAAACCATCAGTGAACCTTCTGAGTTTTTATATGTGATGTCAATAGTAAAACTGGTAAATCTGATAAAATAAGTTTTCTTTGTGGACTATTTTGCCTTATAACACCCTGCATGTACCCCTCCACCATGAATAGGTTTTTAAAAAGTATGTTTTGGTCAGAAATCCTCTCTCAAAACTGTCCAGTGTCTCAGGAACCAGGCAACCTATTCGTAAACACTTCATGTAATAACTGTTTGTAAGGGAGCTTTTAGAGTCATTAAAGTCTTCAGACGTCAGGTTCCTATCACCACCACTGTGAACAGTTCTGACTTTTCTCTAGAACGGAGAGTTTTACACCAAACCACTCTGAACCACTTTGTTTACATCTCAACCATTAAATTATGCAGGAATTTTTTAAAAATGGTGGAAGTCTCCTTAAACATAGTTTACACTTTCTTTTGTACAGGGTGTTGTAGAGGTGGGCGATACGGCAAAATGTAATATCATGATACTTCTGAGTTTTTTTATGATACATGATATGGCAGGATGATTTTGATAAATGCTATGAAAACTATGAATTCAATCACTTGTATTCCTCATTTCACACACTGCTCTAAATCCAAATAAGCAGGACTAATTCTGCTTTATTTCTAATCAAACATGCAGCTTGGGGTGATGTTTTAAGTATTGACGATATCCACGATACGCTCAGAAAAAGCATATTGTGATTTAATTGATCACGATAACGATAAACATCGTCATACTGCCCAGCTGTGCGGCATCATAAACTTTGAAAGAAAAAAGTGAATAAAATGAAAATGTGAGGTAACCGTGACAGACAGCAGAGTGTCCGGCACGTCAGTAAATCTTTAGTCAATAATGTGAGAAAAGGGCCAAAAAAAGGGAAAAAAAACCCAAAAACCAAAACAGCCTCTCCCTCTCGCGCGCTTCCAACAGAACAGTGAGTCAACACCGTGACGTCAGCGCCGCTCGTTTGCATATCCGAAAGTGGAGTGAGCGCGCGGAGCGGCTTTCTGCGAATCCTCGGTTCGTCGCGCCCGCGCAGATGCCTTAAAAACAACAACAAAAACAAGAAGAAGAAAAAGAGGAAGAAGAAGAGGAAGAGGAGCGAGGCGGGTAAGCGGCGCTGCTCTGCGCGTGTCTGTGTGTGAGAGCTGCGCGGTGCAGCAGGTAGAGCGGCTGAGGAGCGTGTTTCAGAGTCAGCCGAGGTGTTTTGGGCTCCAGCGCTGCGCTCTGTGAACCTCCGCTGCTCACGGCTGCTTTTCCAATCACGCTCCCACGTGCGAGTGAGTGACTCGAATGGAAGCAGATCGAATGGCAAACTGTTGCAGTGCGAGCAGCGCGAGCTCGGAGCAACTTGCCAGACAGCCAGGTGCAGCAGGCGCTCGGCTCGTGCACGCTCGCTCGCGCGGGCAGGTGAGCTGCTTGATCTAGTGCTGCATGCCGAACGGAGCGGATGACCGTTGCCTCACTTGGCTTTCGTCTCTTTTGTTTTCTATTTTTTCACCCCGTCCTGTGCGGGTTAGAGGGAAAGTCCACCCATTTTTTCAAAATTTCGTTAAGATGTAAACAGTCATTCAGAGTCATTGTAGATACTCAGATTTCTTCACAGTGGTGGCGATTGGAACCAAGGGTCACGATGTCTACGACACAAGTATAGCCATTTATTTACTCTCCTGACCACCAGTGAGTCTACACGTGCCTTCTGAGTTTAATATGTAGTGCCGATGATGGTAAAATAGTCATAAATCTGAAAAAGTAAGTTTTCTTTGGGGACTATTAAAAACGCCATGCATGTACCCCTCCACCGTGGATGGATTGAAAATAAATGGATTCAAATACATTTAAGCCAAAACTTTATCATGCGACGGTGTGTCAGACACCAGGCAGCATATATCTAACTATGTAATGTGATAACTTTTTATGAGGGAGCTTAACTGTTCAGACGTCTGGTTCCTATCTCCACCCCTGTGAACAGGTTTCTCTAGAACGGAGTGTTTCACACCAAACCACTTTGAATGACTTTGTTTACATCTCAGACATTTCATTATGTAGAATTTTTGAAAAATCGGTGGAGTTGCCCTTTAAGCAGAGAGCGCGACCCACTCACTGTCCTGCTGTGATAATATTCTGTCCATGACATGACTTGCAGAATGTTCCTCCTACAGAACTGTCGAAAACAAAGTGTAAAGCCAAACCGAATGTTACTTCACAGATGAGATCACTTTTCCTTATATATGTATTTATTTATTTATATTTATTTTTTAAGCAGTCTGCTCAGCTTGAGAGCGTGTGTTTACATATAGCACAGTTAGTCATGTGAATTTGTGCCCTCTCTCATTGAAATGTAATATGCAGTCCTGTAATTGTGTTGGAAATCAAGTGACAAGACAGAATCTACTGAAGGCGGTGATCTTTCATGCTCCGTCAAAAAGCTGTCCATTTTAGACTGGTCATGCTTCTGTTACCTTAAATTACCTTTTCACCGTATACCGGTTTTTAAAAGCAAGCGTAACATTTCTGTTCATCCCTTTTAAGCACGTACTGAATGCTGTTAGCTGAGTTGAGTTTCATCTGGCAACTTTCCCCTGTAAACACTGCCATTGCATAATTGCACGTAAACGCTCAACTGCTGGCTTCATGAGCGCACGGCTTGACAACAAGCACTCCCCTTAGCACTTCTCAGAATGTCATTCATTCCAGGTACGTTTTAAAAATAACACCCTCCGCGCTGCCTGTGACTGAGATTAATGAGGTGATTTGGTTCGCTGTAGCTGGTTGTAAATTTTCTTAACCTTACCTGATGTATGAGAGCGGTTAACACTGTGCCACTGCTTTCCTTCAGACTGGACGACGGCTATTTGCGGAAAAAGAAGTGAGGGGACGACTGTCGTGAGATGGTTTGCTTAATGTCAGCCTAATGGATTTGACTAAAATGGGTGTGATCCATCTCCAAAACCCCGGCCACCCCACCAGCCTCCTGCAGAAGGCCAACCAGATGCGTCTCTCGGGGACACTGTGCGATGTGGTCATCATGGTGGACAGTCAGGAGTTCCATGCCCACAGGACCGTGCTGGCCTGCGTCAGCAAGATGTTCGAGATCCTGTTCCATCGCAACAGCCAGCACTACACTCTGGACTTCCTCTCACCAAAGACCTTCCAGCAGATCCTGGAGTACGCCTACACTGCCACGCTCCAGGCTAAGCTCGAAGACCTGGATGACCTGCTGTATGCCGCAGAGATCCTGGAGATAGAGTACTTAGAGGAACAGTGTTTGAAGATCCTGGAGACCATCCAGTCCTCTGAGGAGAACGATGCGGACATACACATGAACGAGAATGGCGCCGAAGATGACGATGAGCGCCGGATGAAATATCTGAAGAGCGCCTTCATGTCCAAGAAGCATTCCATACAAGAAGGTGGCTACAACTCCGCCGCCCGCCATAGGCTAGCCCTGGTCAACATGGTGGACAAGAAGCCGCCAGTGTCGGCGACCTTAGGGCTTCCTGCCATCAGCCACACGAAGGCCGCTGTGGAGAGTCTGATGAGCATTGGCCAGTCTCTTCTGGAAGGCACCATGCAGCAGGATCTCACTCCAACTCAAGGATCTTCTCCACTGCTGGATAAGATCAAGACTGAAATGATGCAAGTGGACGACGAGTACAGCCACGAAGTCAGCTCCTCCAGGAATGGCGAAGGAATCAACGAGTCGAAGCAGCACAGGGGCTCCCCAGGAACCCCCACGAGAGGCAGCGTCATCACTAGTGCTCGTGAGCTCCATTCCGCTGATGGTGCTCCTGAATCATACAGAGATGCCAGCCAAGTGGGGCAAGCCAGTGTGGCTGCTCTGGCTGAGACGCATCTTGCCTCGCTTTACTCCATGCCGGCTAACCACAAGGGCGAGGGCCTGCTGCCCATGCCCGTCTCTGTGGCTTCCTCGCTGCACATGCCGCCCACCCTTGCCATGTCTGTGGACTTCAGTGCCTACGGGGGGCTCTTCCACCAGAGCTTCATTCAGAGGGAATTCTTCAGCAAGCTTGGCGATTTCGCAGCGGCGGCGAAAACACGAGGCCCAAAGCCCCAAGAAGCGGTGCGACGTGTGTGACGCGGAGCTGCCAGACAACCAGACTGCTGAGCAACACAGGTGGGCCAATCTGTACTTACTTTATTCAGTAGATGCAAAAATATAATAAACAAACCATCTGCTGGTAAACCCAAACATATGCTTTTCAGAATGGACTCCAGTTCCAATATTATTGACTCAAGCTGTGCTAACCAAAGCCAGTGGTTATTCCACTGATTTTTTTTTTTTCAAACTTCCTGCATAACTCAGTCATTGAGATGTAAACATAGTAATTTAGAGCGGTATTATGTGAAAAGGTTCGTTGTGGAGAAACTTACCGACTCCCATTTCTGTACAGTGGTGGTGATAGGAGCCAAGCGTCCTGATTTCTACAACACAAATACAGCCATTCTATTTACTATCCAAAACTACCAGTGAAGCTACGTGTGTCTTCTGAGTTTTTATATGCAGTGTTGATGATGGTCAAATAGTGAAGAATCTTAAAAAAATTTGTTTTATTTCAAATGTATTTTGCCTTACAACACCCTGCATGTACCTCTCCACCATTATTGGATTTTTGAGGCCAAAACCTTATTGCAGAACTATCGTAAAACAGTGTCTCAGACATCAGTCAGTGTATTTATAACCATTTCATGTAATACCTTACTGTCAGGAAGCTTTTCGAGGCATTAAACATTTTGGACGTCTGGTTCCTTTTACCACCCATGTGAATTCACACAGTTCTGACTCAGTGAGTTTCTTTAGGATGGCGCATTTCACTTCCAGCCACTCTGAATAACTTTGTTTACCATTTAAATATGCAGAAATTTTGCAGGAGTTCTCCCTTAACCCTTTAAACTGCAGGCCTATTCAGAGGGAGTTCTTCAGTTATTAATTAGGCCTGCACAATTTGGACAACATACTTGCATCACGATTACATACAGACATTTCTTTTTGTTTTAAAATATTAATATAAGGTATAAAAACACATTCTGAAATCACTAATGAGACATAGCTCATGCCTAGTGATTGGGGCTCATTTTCTCCCGTTGTCTGTAATTGTGCCGTTATCTCATTTAGACTGTGGCATGTTATCTTTCCAGTGTTTTACTTAACTTCGTGTGTAACGCACTTTGGAAAGTGCCATGTAAATTAAGAAATGTTATTAGTTTTGTTACATGATCAGAGATCAGCCTGCATAATCAGGGCTGAAAGTCTTCATATTTTTTGTATCATGTGATTCATCCATGCAGTCAGAGCTCATGAATCTGGAACATGCACACAAACAATGTACTTTCTTTGAGGGCTCACTTACATATTGCACCCTTATTCAGTATCGGTATTGATGATGTGGGCTTTTGCACTTTAAGAGGTCTACTATCCCCCCCCCAGTAAGAGATGTGGTGACCAGTGTTAGCCCTCATTACCATCCTGAGTTGAGGTAAACCTTCCTAAGCAGGAAGCACAGGCTGTTTAGTCCAGCTGACCCTGACCTCCACTCAGCCCCTCTGAGAGCTTGTAGCCAAATTCTGTCAGTTGGTGATCCATCACAGAGAAACAGGCTCTGCTGGATGCATTAGAACAACCCATTTTCCCTGCATTAACGCAACCTTTTGAATGACGTTGACTTCTCGCAGGACCTATTGCTGGGTTATTTCTTACACCTTCACTGTAGCAATTCCAAAGCAATTTCCACTTGCCATTCACAAGGCTGTTTTTTTAGGGCATGTGGTATTCTGGATTTATTCCATTCTATATATTTAGGTTTAATCTCACAATGACGCTGCTTTGAATGTGAGTTATGATGTGTGAAAAATAGACTTGACAGCTCCTGAGTGGCTCATCCAATGGAGCCGTGCTTTCAGTGCAGTCTGGCTGCTGCCATGTGATGTCTGTGGCACCGGCACGTTCTCGTCGAGACGGAAAAATGGAAGGATCAGTCTCTGTCCCCACGCTAAAGTGCCTTACACTCAGACTCCTTCAGAGCATACAGTTGCAATAAAACTGCCAGTTTAAAAATGGTAGATGAAAAAGATGGTGTAATATAATATTAATTTGTCTGTTTATAAACTAAATTTTATATTAAGAATACGTTTTTCCAGATCAGGAAAAAAATCATAAAAAAAACATAATACACAGAAATACACAGAAAAAGAAATAACTAAACATAATATCATTTTTTCAGTATTTAGTGTGTTCACTATTTGCCTTTATTTCAGCTTCAGTTCTTTTCAGAATACTTTCTTTCAGTTTTTCAAAGAAATCTGTAGGCATATTTTTCCACACTGCCAAAGTTCAGTCTTAGAAGTTGGTTACATTTTCTGCTTCTTTCAAACCAGCAATCCCCAACACATTCAGTGATGTTGAGGTCTGGACTCTGAGGTGGTCAGTCCATTGTTCTGAGAAGATTAGCAGCATCTTTATTTGATTTTCTTGACAGCTACACATCCTTTCAGACTCATAGTGTTGAGTTGTCTTCTCACAGTGGAAGGATGGACAAAACACCTGTACATTTTTTCGAAGGTCGATCAGGTCTTGCATGGTTGTTAGGAGTCCTATTTTCTTGGTATCTTTGATCATGTTTGGAGCTCTGGTTTTGAACACTGCTTTTTTTTTCCTTATTTTCCCTTGAATTTCCCTTCCCTATGGATTATCTTATATCTAATCTTCTCAGAAATATCTCCTGAAAAATAAAAGGTACTTAGCCTTGCTCTCTCTGGGTGGGTCAGATGGCCCTTGCTCTCCCCCATCATTCAGCTCAATGCTAGAAAGTTTGAGCCTCTGGTAGCTGACGTAACAGAATTGTCAGTTTGAAAAGAATTGGCAGTGGTTTGAAAAGATATGATGGTGTTTCACGAGTCTCAGAGGAAGCAGATGTTAGCCTTCAGCCGCCCCAGCTTGGTGGCACGATGTGATAGGTGGAGACCAAGCTAGTGAGTGGAATTGGACACAGCTAAATGGATTAAAACTGGATGAAAATCAAATAACATAAAAATTTCAAAATGCTTCAGCTACTATTGATGGCAATATTCTGCAACAGAAGACTGACTTAATACATTTATAACTGCATACTCTTCAGTTGGACGTAAAAACAGTCCTAACTAGTAAATAACGTATAATTCTGTTGCTTATTTCAATCATTGACTTGTATAACTGGCTTTATTTGCTCTTTATGTACTCATTACACCACAGACTGATAACATATAAAGGCCATGCTACCACTTGCAACATGTATGTAGTTTTGGAACAGGGAGTCATGCAGCGTAACCGCAGGCTGTCAAACAGATAGCAGTTTGCGTATCAGTATTTATCAGTGAGCCTGATAACCCTGTGGGCCTCTGTGGTAGAGATGGCCTGATAGTGACTTTACCCTCCCATCTTACTCAGATAAAGGCCCAGCATGTGCCGTGGATTGCAGCACACCTGATACTCGCTTTCATTCATTCCCACAAACCAACTGAACCCGCTGACATCAACCTGGCTCTCCTGACTCCGACCCACAACACACCAATATCCGATTAAGCCCCTTTTTTAAATATAGGTCTAAAATGTGTTCGCTAAAGTATAATGTAAAAAATATAGGCTTTGAACAATGTGTTTAACCTTGCATGCTTATTATTCTGTTATTAATCTGTTATTCACTGACTATGAATGATTTGATAACTACCACAAAACCATGTACTTTTAAGAGTGAGGAATTGTGATGTGGACCCACATACAGTTCCTCAGGGTTTAAGGGGTTAAACTGCAGGCTTATTATGTAGTTATTAATCTCAAAGCATATCAATAAGTGCGCTATTATTTAGTAACTACTGTGTCCTTTAGAGTTTAAGGATTTAATATCATAGTAGGCTAAGTAAAGCAGTGGCAAAAGCATTTTTAATGCTTTTTTAGTGTTCACTTGTCAAACAAACATCAAACAGCTGAACACCAGCTTCTAGACAGTTGTATGCAAAAATTTGAACACCCTCAGTCAAATTACACTTTAATATGGTATTCAGATTTTAGTGCACTATTTTTATTTATTTGCTGAGTGTATCATATTGGCAAAAGAATAAAACATATAATATAAAGTGTGCCATAACTTTTGCATGGGTCACATTTTATGTAAATTTTTTCCCAACTAACTTATTTTACTCAGAAAATCAACAAAACATATCTGACCAGGGACGCCCAAACTAACCGCTGCTAACCGCTCAAGCACTATATTCCTCTATCTTGATTTGGACTATGAAGCCTGTCAGGAACTCCGCTCCTCTGAGAAGTGACACAAATGGCAGCTCACATAGTAAACCGGCTCTCGACGTTTTAACCCATCAACTCGACAACTTCTGACTCATGAACAGTGATGGATGTTTAACCTCAACTGACGTCTCATGCACAGGCGGTTGTGAAAGCCTCTGGGGCCCGCAGGGTCACTGCGGTTATGCTAAGGAGCAGCAATACTAGCAACAGTTCACCTTTTGCCCCATTTCTCAGGGGATCTCAAACTGCTAAATTTCAACTTGTAAAACGATAGTGAACTCTTCACATTTTCACAGGAAGTGGTTTGATCATTTCACAGGCAGGTATCATAATGGTGCCAGCACAGCACAGTGATCAGTACCTTAGTACGAGTACCCTTTAAATGTCTTTATGTGTTCACTTACTAAGGCTTATTATTCAGTAACTATGGACACCAGTGCTAAATGATTGGCTTATTAGTAAAGGAAAACTTCAGCAACTGCCCAGTGGATCTAGCTGTGTTTCCAGTCAACAAGTTTTCTGTGCTTTTGTAAGAACAGGAACACACGTGAGAATTAATCGATCAAATCCTGCAGATGCACCATGTAGAGATTAGGCTGAAAAAAGCTGGAGTTTTCCTGTAAGTTATTGGAGTGAATGTAGTCATAGAAGAGTGATGAATGTTAAAGGGCTAAAACAAAACAAAGCTTGTGCAGATGTAAGATTGCATTGTGTGGTTTCATTCCTGCTATGCGTGTCGTTTATGCTCTGTGAAGGATCTTCAGTGTTTTACTCTGCACTCAGTGGGTTTAAAGTGGTGCTGATGTGTACTCACAATGCACGGCGGGAGGCCGGGT